AGCATAAAAGGCACATTTGCATATCAATTATTTGCTGCCTACACACCGTGCAATATTATGCTTCGATAGTCCACAGACAATTCCAGACAAATATTATCCCTTTACCACCCACCCACGGTGTTCCACTGGGATAGAATACGAGTTATTGTGCGCAGTTTCCGTCGACTTCCTAGGCTTAGCTTCGTTCTCGTGTTGAACAACGTGTTTCCTCGCGGTATCGGAAGAAGATCAAGGTTTTTACGTTATATTTGATATTCGGTACCTCACAGCGTCGAATTAGGAATAAACGATCGATTATTAGGCTGAGGAAGTGAAAAAATCATCAAGCTCATAGCACTGAGGAATAGCAAACGATATATATCGGTATATCGATATATCGATATGTATCGCAACATGGCTACGGAGCGAAGAAAACGGGTGGAATTTCTTGGTTGGGATCGCGATCGGTTCCGGAAATGTTTCCCCCCGCTTCAGTACACACGATTATCTTCGCTATTGGCTTTCTTCGTGCGGCTTTATCGCGGCGAAAGCCTCGTCGAGATAACGATCTACCTGTTGTTTCGAGGGCCGCGCGCTCCGAAGGGCAGATGCGCCACGAGCGCATTCTCCGATCGAACGTGATCGTGAATGCATTAATATACGTCAATTGATCGTCTCGGTTACGCCTATGCGTGTGTTCCACGTGCACGCTTTCATGAAACGTGCTCCAGCGTCGCTTAATACCCCGCTCGGCGACCGAAAAACACTTCTCGCAACTAGCACATCTTCTTTAAAACAACGTCTAATGTTATTTTTTAAAATAGTTTACCAAACTGATTTTGAAGATTATGAAAAATGATCGTGAAAAATAATACAAATCGTTGAAGGAACGTAACGAAATAATCGAGAACATGGCCTAAACCTGTTACTATCGCGGATGGAAGTCTGCCGCGTCGTCGAGCTAAGATCGAGGACGCAGTGTGCGCAACGCGATTGAGAAACAATGGGCCTCGAAAAAAAAAAGAAGAGGATTCGACGAAACAAAACGAAAGTCGTCTTTGTCGGCGACGAAAACTGCAACCGTTCTCCCACCTAATGGCTCTAACGCCCTTTTGGCATGCATCCTAATGGATCCCGGCGCAGAGATCCTTTTGTTCTCGACTCTTTTGCAAGGAAAAAGACGAACAACCGCCTCCCGAGATATCGTGGCGGTTTTGATAGCGCGGCTGTCGCCAAAGAGATGATGGATGACTTCCCCCCTGGTAGCACAGAGGTGAGCAACTCCGTCGAGACACGATGAGAACGGTGTTTTTTTCCGGTGTTGCGATGCATTCGACGATCATGATTAATGGGCGTAATATCGCGACGAAACCGGCTAATCGAGGAACAGGTGCCGAGCGAGCTCCAGCTAGCGATCTTTTGCTCGGTTTTCGGTGGCTCTCTAATTAAGATACTTCTGGTGAAGTTGGAACGTTGAGGCTAGAAAAATGAATACCTCCTAAACCTGGAATAGATCTTATCAGTGTTGGAAACTGCCGGTAAATTTCTCAATGGAGGAGTCCGGTGATAACCATCGAGGCCCCACGAACGATTCAAGTCCCAAAGAAGCGGTGGTGGACGAAATAGAAACGTCCGATACCCTAATTAGTCCGGTGACTGGACGCTGATGAACCTCCAATACCAACGATGGTACTTAAGAAGATTTAGCGTGAGAATTTCATGATCTATAACTGGTATTGCAACTACATACTAGTAGTTTCTACAACTTCGATAATATTAATATTGAGATAAATTCCTCACTGGAATTCTTTCGAGTGTCAATGATAAGGATATCGGGTGTATCTACAGAAAGAAACATGCTTTCGAGTGTTAATTATGACATCGATATGTCTACGCAAAGAAACAAATCGTACCTAACCCAGATTGCACAAGACCAGCTTCTGCAACTTTGATAGTACTAACGCTGAAACTAATTCCTGACTGGAATGCTGTCGAGTGTGAATTATAAAAAGATCGGTGTATCTGTACAAAGAGACAAACCGATGTGTGTATCAACTCGGTCGAATGCTAATGGCGTCGGTGCAAAATTCTCAGGCAGACATGTGTCCGATGTACTCGAGATTAGACCAGAATGTTCTTGAGAACAGTTTCCCCTCGCTGGTATAATTGCCGCTTTCCAGAAGATTGCGTTTTTGCTGGTCCTCTCGTTTCACCAGTTCACACAGACCATCATCATCGGCTGCCACCAAAAGAACGAGTCCCCGCCTCGTCGACATGCTCGATCTTACCCGCGGTACGCTTCCAAGATTAGAGGAGAGTGAAATAAGCCGCGTTGCGGTCGCTCGTGGAATAAGAAACATTTTTTGGAGGTCTCCCCCCTCCCCCCCCCCCTAATGGTTTCTTGAGAGCCCTTTTTTACCTTGCTACCCGGCAAGGTGTAAATTGACTGGTGCACAGGAATTCCACCTTGTTTCTGGCGGACTCGTGAGAGTTGGGAAGTCGTGGATAATGGTGTCCTCGACGAATAAACTCCACGGGGACCAAAAAAGTCGAGTAATATCTCATTCGAACGATAATTCACTTCTGACTGGCTCGAATCGTGTAATGAAATATCGTCGAGACTCTGCCAAACAGTATTGTACAACAACACCGTTATCAACGACTGTACTTTTTATAATAATCTACGATGTTTGCAGCCCCAAAACAGTAATGGCGAGGATTCGTCGATAATCCCACCGGAGAAAAGCCTCCTTTAAATGCACATTCCAGCTATTCTACCCTGACAAAAGTGTCCTCGACGATAAAAATGAGTCGCGTAGAAACGGTTGCGTGTAAAAGGGGTTAGGTCTGGGTTGCTCAGGTAAGGAGGTTTGGGAATCCGGAAAGGAAGAAAGGAAAAGTATTTCTGGACGGTTTTAGGATCCAGTTTACCGTCGATTATCTGGAAAAGCAATCTCTGTCGGTGTTCGGGAGCTTCGGCTCCGCTGAAGAACTACAAAGCGATTAGGGTGATGCGAGGGTGGGATCGACGCTCGTTTCCTCGCTTATTTGGCTAGAAGAAACGACAAGTAATAACGCAATCGCGCGTGAAACGATCACAGTTAGCCGTTCCAGAGGCTTAGTAGCGCGATTGGGGGGGTGTACAATCGAAGTCCAAACTCGAGTTCCAGTTCTTCAAAGCGTTTTGTAAACCGGAATAATTTCTTGCACGCCTGAATCTCTGTATTAGATGTTCGGGCCTGCGGTGCACCGTGGCTCGTAAATTCGTTCAAGTAAGATCTTATCGTCCCCAATTAGTTCACACTTGGGTACTAGGAATATAGCGTAGCTTTTACTTTGGTAAGCAAAGTTTATTGGGTTTGAGAAAAAAGTACAATTGTTCGAGGGGCAATGAATATTTAAGGCCCCGTTAAATCCATTACATCAGCCTGTGTGGCTATGCTGTTCGCGAGATTCTTGCATCGTAGCCTGGGAAACGATTTCCCATTTTTCCCACGTTCTTTCCCTCGAAGTTGATGGTTATGGCTTCTGTGGTAAAATTAATTAACGGTTTTTCTTTTCGATCAATTCCAAGGTTGTTCCATCGGGGTTAGAACCGACGATCCTGGAATCCGTTTAAGTAGTTCAACTCGTTCGTTCGTATTAAGAACGCTTAAGGGGAGGAAAACAATTTGCTTTTTCGTACAGTTTTTGCTGAAAAACGCATCGAACTTTTTCGATGAGGATTTCTGCTCGTTTATTCGTCAATAAATGTACAAAGAAGACTTATGTGTAGAACCTATCATTGTAATCTCCAGTATCTGTGTCGAAGAATGGACACAGAATAAATCTATGAGTCATTCTAATTTCGTATTCAGACAGGTTTGCTCTAGGAGCATCGAGTCTATGAGATTTTCGAATAAAAATTCATAGACGCGCACGGATCGTTGCTCACGATGACTCAGGACAAAAATGACCATCTTTCGGGTCAGTATACCTGCGACACGGAGCTCGAATTCCTTCGAGATGAATGATACAGCGACGTGAGATACGATTCAAGAGGAACGTGCTACTATCTGACGCAAACATCCAAACAATCGCCGCTAGACCTCTCTCTCGACACTGTTAGAACGAGTAATAAGTTAAATTGGGCATTGAAGACGAATTATACGCCGGTTAGCTAATTTTTAATAGCAACGCTGGTCGACGAATAACTTTCGGAACCTTCGAAAGGCGTTCAACTTTGCAAAAAGCGCGAAAGAAAAGTTCAAGAGTTCAGTGACGTTGTTGTCTCGGCTATAAATAAAATCTGTTTGATCAATGGCCAGAAACGCGACAGTACCATCCAGCTAAAACGAAAGAATAGCCCCAGGTACGAATAAAGGACCGAACGAATCGTTCGCGTGTCGTTCTCCGATAAAAAACGTATCGAACCGATTCGAGACCGAAAGCGCATCATCAAGGCGTGAATAATAATTTCTCGACGATGTTTTGCCCTTGATCCGCAATGATTTTGCGGAACAGGTTGCCACCAGCTTCGAAGTAAAAAATACAGAGTGAACCTGGAGAATAAAAAGCGGATCGTGAGTGCTGGAAGCTCAATTCTTCTTAACAGAGCGATTCAAATTTGTTTATCATGTTTAGGGATGCACGTGGGAGTACTACCAATAGATTGGCGAGGTTTCCCTGGTTAAAACGAGTCCAAACACGACCCAATTCGGATCACTTTCAGTTACGCGCTGTTGGAGCCATTTTGGAAAAAATTCCATTTTCGTGAAATCGAAATTCGTCCGATTGTGGCCGTGTTTGGACTCATTTTCATCGGGAGAACCTCGCCAATTCGATGGTAACATTGTCTGTAATATTTCTCTTTGTGTGTAAATAATTATGAGATATTTGCATCGCGATGTTATAAGGAGATAAATATAACTGGAGTCAGACAATTTATCTCACAGTTTAAGCTCGTTTCTAGACGAAGAATTTTGTAAAAGTTGCTTAAATTAATAATAGTGTATTATCGACAACCTAAAAAGAATACTCACTTTGACTGTACACCGCACTCGCAATGACCAATAGCACGAGCGTCTTTCTGAGCCTCATATTCAGGATTCTTTTTCGAACGTCAGTCTATTATCGGACACCACTCGCGAAACTCACTCACTTCTGGTCCCGGGGTGATTAGTCTCAACCGCGACACACTGACGGGTGTTCAAATGGAAACGACCTGCGTGATGTCCATCGGATTGACGACGCGCGTAAACAACGTCCCCGGTTAATTGCCCGAGAAGAGGTGCATTTCGATTTGGACGAGTCGGGGGGGGAAAAAAGAAAATAAATCAGGAAGGAATCTGAGCGTGTCTACGAAGGAGACGAGATCCCGAAAGCTCGGTCGCGAGCACGCCTTTCTTCAGCGAACACGGCTCCTCTCTTACTTCCTCCCTCTTCCCCTCTCTCTTGTTCCGTCCCTCTGAATAGCGCACCGTGAACCGGAGCGTGCAGCACTTTCCACGAGTTTTACCGTGAAGGAACGCGACAGAATACCGTTTGCTTTTCCGTTCCCGGAAAGAGCTTATCTTAGTTTCTTGAAAACCGGCTCGAGCGATCCACTCGATCCCAGTCGATAATCTCTCGAGATAAATTGCCGTGAAATTTGACAACCTAGTGTCTCATTCGCGATACGTTTCGAGATTCTGTTTGGCGGCGACGACGACAACAGGGGTACCGGTCAACGATTGCTAGCCACTCCGTTCGTGCCGGTGTCAAAGAAAATTTCTCGTCGAAACAAGGGGGTTGAAGCCGGCTGCGTGAAACGTGGACGAAATAGCCGCGAGCCGCACCGTGCTGCGGTTCGCAAACGAATGCCACTGAAGTTGCCGCTCTTCCGAATTCCGTAGCTGCATAGGTGTGCGTGCGCCTCTCCCCCCACCCCCCCTCACTTCCACCCCTACCACTCGTGAATTTAGTTATCCCCACCAGCGGAGCTTCTCGGTTGCGCACACCATCTTCCCCCCGCAGCGAGAACTCACCGACGGTGTGCAGAATTCGATTAGCAATGGGTCTGATTTACGGCGAATCAAATTAATATTCCTACACCATACCGTGTAACTTTTCCATCGTCTTTTAAATGAAAGCTTAACGTATCTAGATCGAGCTTTCAGATTTTTTACCAGAACCTAAAATAATCGTGATTCTAATCAATCTTGCGCAACCTTTGTCATACATTTAGAGTCCCTGTTGGAAGGTGACAATTTTCTATAGTTTCTCTCTTTGAATCTAAGAAACATTTAGTGTCTGACATCTTAAGGATAGTATAGGGTTTTCTAATAAGATACAATGAGATGTGGTTTCAGCAAGAAGTTCCATGATAAGAATATTTCAATAATAAGAACTAGCAACTTGACGCCATTAGACTCAGCGTTAAGTGTACTGAATTGTGGCGTGCTTGCACACAAGCGGCAGCTTGATTCCGTTCCTACTTTCCACCGGTCTCGAATCCGGTATATCCTCACTTCCTTTATCCCCACTGTATCTGGCTGAGCGCGTGTGCGGTCGACGCGTCAATTACATCTGAATCGAAGGCGACGTCTCATCGTGATTACGCCGCAAAAATAAAAGCTGCTCCGCTTTCGTCAATGGGTTCGAGTGGGACGGGCCTGTTTGCGCGTCTGGGTTAGGTTATGTACCGTCTATTCGCCGGTACGATCGTTTGGCAATAGTCACGTGATCTGAAATAGCCGTGCCATCGACCGTACTTCGATCGGAAAACCGCAGATATTTACATCGCTTCCGTTCTGCTCGCTGAATTTTAAACTTACTTGGAACGTAAGTGTATTGTGCAACATACCATGACACCGAGCCTCCAAACTCTCTAATACGCTACAATTTACTTGTAAAATTACTAACAGGTTCTGACAAAGAGTGCAAGACCTTCGAGTCACCGATTCAATCGAAACTTTGCGCATTGGTAGATCTTGACACCCTCTTAAAAAAAATATACCATTATAGGGTCAGAAACTCGATATTTCTCGAGTTATTTGCTATCAAAGTTTGTAAGAGATCCAGAGCGCAGAGGTGTAACTGTCGATTTGGTTACTAAACTTTTATTCTTCCGTTATGCAAAGTGTTTCGTGCCGGTAGATCCACGGTACTTCTCTACTTCTCTCGTAGGTTGATGCCTGGAACGAAGAACAAAGGAACTATTTACTCGTTTACCGATAGTCTTGGGATTTAATAGGCGTTCGTTTCAAAGAAAATGTTAAAACCTGCCGTGTTTCGTTCCCTTTGCCTCGAACGAGCAGTTTCATTGTTAATTATACGATTACGCGTAGGACTCGCGATTTATGAATGATTCGGTAGAGTGAATGAACGTGCCCGGCGCATGCGCACCGCCGACCAGATTCCATTCCCATTCCAATCTCGCTTCTATTCTCATCGCTTTATCCTTTTGCCCGGCCTCCGTGTGGGCACCGCGAGCACACAACAGTTTCAGAATTCATAAAAACGATCATGCGCCACGAGTGGGGCCCTTATCAAGCCCTTACCGATGCCGGGACGCCGGTGCAACACCGGGAATGCGCATTACTACCGCCGTTAAAAAATATTTGTACAACCGCGACGTCTCTGTTCCGCCACTAAATTGGAGCGGCCGCGTTGTAATTTCAGTTTCTGACAAACACTGTTCTCCGAAAGTCGGATAACGAACGGATATTGTCGCTTTAACCAGCCGTTGTTTACCTGCTCCGAGGACGGTCCTAAACAATCACGCTTCCCGCAACGTAGAGGCTGTAACAAAATTTTTTTCCTTCCTGGATAATTCACAATCAAAAAGATAGGCAAAATTAATTAACTAAATAAAAAAATTAGTAATGTTTTTCTCGAGATCGTACGTCGCGAATATTGATAATCTTCGTCGTGTTCTATAGATTGGACAAAATATGAACAGGTGTTTAGAGCGTAACGCAGCGTGAATCGATAATCACTGCGTAGTTTCCGTATAAGAGTCGCGCGTCGATACAACGAAGTAAATTTGAAATGCATGTAACGGTTACAATAGCAGGTTATAACTTGTACGTACAAGCTGCGAACACGGTCCTCCCTTTTAAAATTCGCAGCTGACAGTCAAAAGGCGACAATGCTGCTGAATATTGAACACGCTGTTCCTTTGGAATGTCATTCTTCGTAGTTGACTAACGCAACAATCGCAGAGTTACGGTATTCCCCATGACGATGGATATCTGTGCAATGTAAAAAAAAACAAAAGCAATATGTATGCAAAATTGCAGTATTTTTTTTTTTTAAATGAAACAATCGTTTGAAAAATTGGATCCTACCGTTCGAAGAATTTTGTATTGACGAGTGGATTGCTCGGGAAGAAAATCACGTCTTGCGACGAGCAAAATCCACAGGATGCATCATTGTGTGACAATAATCCGACAAAAATGCGCCACGACCGCACGCACCTGCCACTTATTTCATCTGGTTTTCTCCATCCTTTTTTACACCCTCGCTCTTCCTTAGCGTCCATTAAACGTGGCTCGCCTCCACGAAGCAGAATGAAAGGGCAAGTGTTTGCCGAACAATTTCCCTCCGCGGATAATGGTTAACCCAGAGACCCATAATTTCATCGATCGAACACTCCTGCCAGCTTTCGAATATTTCTTCGCCATTTTCTTCTTGAAAACCACTCGAAAGATCTAGAATAACCCATCGTTAATGAATATTTATGTATCAGATTTTAAATATTATCAAGGAATCTATATATCTATACAGGGTGTTCGGCCACCCCTGGGAAAAATTTTAATGGGCGATTCTAGAGGCCAAAATAAGACGAAAATCAAGAATTATTTCGCATTAAAGTTGCCTTATTCCCGTAAATGGATCTAGAAACTTCAAAATTAACATACTTAATTATTATCTTATCACTAAACCGTTGCAATGGTGTAAATACGCCTAAATATCGGTATGGGTGTCGTTATGAAGGTTTTCTGGGACGTTAATTACGAAAATGGTATCAATTTTGAAATGTAAGATGGCGACATGACAAAATTAAAACTCTATAGAGGTGAATGGGGGCTTAAAAGGTTTTATGGAGAAACAGTATCTATTTTCGAGGGAACTAAACGGTTTCAAAAGCACTGTAATATTTCACACTATTCGTTACATTGCGTTATATCGATTTTGTTAGTACACTTGTTTACTTTCACCCCATGTATAATTAATAATCGTGCATTCTTCTGTGCTCCAGCGAGTTTCTTATAAATATAAAATTTACGTCGACCGTCGTCCAATTTAACATTCATCCTTAAGACCTTGTAAAAAGCACGATTGTTAATGTTACAAAATCATTCGTGTTATAAATACGATTTGCCCATATGCTATCCCAGTGGAGTATTTATCGACGTCTCATGCGGCCATACTTAATTATAAACCCCATAACAGAGTAAACACAGGGATCCTTTAGGACCGCCCTGAAAGCATAGAGCATCTGCTGCATTGCGGGGACCTTATCTTAAATTGTTTTAACGCCCTCTGGAACTCATTAAGCTCGCAGGATTAAAGCAATCAGATTAAGCAGAGGCCAACAACACGCGTGTCCAAAATGAAAACCGAAAGTGGCTGCCATCTGTCGATTTTTTACATTGTTTCTACGTCTTGTGTATCGTCGTTTTTTTTTGCAAAAATACTATAGCGCGTGTACGACGCTCTTTTGTTTAACGATCCTTAAGCTTCAAACATCGAGAGTCACCGATGCAAATCGAAAATGGTTAATTCGAATGTCAGACGACAGGTCATGCGTGGATTGCAAAAAAAACACCGTGTTGTTGAATTTTTACGCAAAATTACGTTGGACGAGCTGTTAATTGAGCTAACGCGAAATGCGATACGAACCAATTACATTTTAATGGGGGAGGGTCACGGTGAAGAACACACCGTAATGTAACTGTTCGTTAAGGATCCCGTCGCCCACGTTAATTGGGAATTTACTGTCGAAATTGTTAACGCGAACATAAAATAACCTTGATCGTAACGGGGCATTCTAATTAACCGCAGTCTCACGACAATTAAATGAAAAATGTTTGGGAACGTAACGCGTTCTACTATGGCGCGCGTGATTTAAAATTATTCGCTAAATTTTTCCAGACAATCGGTCGTATTGATGAATTAATCGTTAAATTTACAATTACCTGGCGATTGATAAATAATTTTTTAACCCATTGAACGCTCTGTAAGGCGCTGGTACTTAATGGGTGAACGCGAACAAGAAAACGGTGTCGAATGGAACAAAATAATTGGGGCCTCGAAGTTTCGAACGAGCGACCTATTTTCTATTCGCCGCGTTTACATGTTTTGTGCTCGAGACAAGCGTCGGGACAACACTTTTCCCATTCGTTGCAGTCATCATCGCGGTGACACAAAGACGGCGGCGAGTACCAATCGTAAGTCCGTGGACAATGGGTTCTCAACGGCGGGCAATGTTTCTTGGCTTCTTCTTTCTCGGTGACGACTATTTCCGGCCACGACGAGTAAAGCAGAGGAGATTCGCCGATGGTTATCCTGATCCACGGATATAAAAATGAGTGCCATGCGTGTTCCATCCAACCCTCGTGTTTCCCCATTGGGCAACAATAATACCGATGGTCCGACGTTTTGCACCAATATCTGCAGTGCTCCGTGTGGCTTCTCTCGAATCCTTTCGTCGACCAAACATAAGCGACGAACAAAAGAATCGCGAACAAACAACGCATCCTGAAACACTCGGACAATGCTGAAAATCGTCCACCGTTTGTTAATTATTAATTTTAAAAAAAATAATAGCTATTGTTCTAAAAAATGTGTATATTGCAAGTGGTTCAATTTACCTCTAAAAATTGTCTTTGTATAAATAAAATAAATTGAACGCGGAGTCTCGTGCTCCCTCGAGTTCAGGTTTCTATCTACAACTGGTAGCGCGGTGGACACCCTTATTTATAAGTCGAGGAAAATCTTTTCCTTCTCAATATTTCGACACGATACAATTGCAAATTAGCATACTTCTCTTCCCCAACTCGTTACTTAACGACTTTACTAGATGAAACTGTCAATACGTCCAGTTAGATATTTAATATCGCGGAACGTCACGGTGACATTTCAAAGAGTTTAGCGAGAAGAATGGAAAATTTAATGGCGAACGAAGAAAACCACTTTCCATAGAAAACGCTACTGCACGCAAATCACAATCCGCAACTATAATTACAAGCCTTTACATTGCTAGATTTTTAACGAGAAACAGGGTGTTCGGCTAACCGTGGGAAAAATTTTAATGGGGCATTCTAGAGGCCAAAATAAGACGAAAATCAAGAATACCAATTTCTTGATGGAGGCTTTGTTAAAAAGTTATTAACGTTTAAAGTTCCGCCCGTATTGAATTTTTTTCTCGAAAATGCGCAGGATTTCCGGGGTATGTCTATTCACCAAAAATGATTGTAATTGACCCCCGCAATCGAAAATAATTTTTCCAAAATGATTCGAAATTTTTTTTTCCGTCGAAAAATTTCACACCTTCTCGAATTTTATTCTAGAAAGTGGGTAGGATTTCGGGGATATGTCTATTCACCAAAAATAATTGTAATTGCCCCCTGCAACCGAAAATAATTTTTCCAGAACGATTTGAAATTTTTTTTTTTATTTTAATTAAATGCCGTGTTGTGTGAAACCGTGTTATATTTAATTAGATTATATTCGTTTGAATATGACTGAGTTTTGTACAATTGTATGTTAGAAGAATAATATTACTCTTCTGATAATTCGAAAATGTATCTTAAATGGGTGGGTTCTCAAATGCATCCGATTAATACCACTTATTAAATTACTAGAATTTATTACCAAGTTACCAAAGAATAGTTACATAACTCATTACTGTCTGGCGCCACCGTCGTCTGACTTTCCCTTGTGGCTGGCAAAATGGCGCACTAGCGCGTTAATATGGTACGTTCATAGAAATCATCCAGCTAGAAAAGTTATTGGAAAGAAGAGGCTTAAATCTTCAAATTCATTACAGCTTCGGTCGTAAAACAAATTTCTTGAAGACTTCGGAGCCGTTGAATTTGTTTCATAGTTTTAGAAAAAACCATTTTCACACTTTCACTTTTCTCCTGAAACATTTGAAAGTGCTAGACAGTCTCTTATTGTTGGTTTTAAACAACGAATCAGTGTGGAAAGACACCGTTTCGATCGTCTGTTATAATGACAAGTTAAAAGAAAGTAAAGATCTTAAATTTCTTAGATATCTTAAGAGTTTCTTGGCTAAATTCCCTAGATATTCAATCGAGTACTGTTTGTAATGCGACAGCAATTATGTTTTTTTTTTATATTTGGAGGTTCTCGCTCGTCTCCTTTATCATTGATGTTTGCAATCTTGATAGATTACAATTTCGTGTTTAATTTTAATTTTAGAAGTCAAAGTTCGGTTCGAGGTCATGCAACGTATCTAATACAATGTTAATATATGCACGTGTGCATTATATTTACCTCGACTTATGCCTTTTTTCAACTTACATTCTGAAGCCAACTAGTACGTAAGTTTAGGGTGCAATTGAATCGTCACAATCGGAGGAGATACGTAAATAATTTAAATGGTTTAATCGATATTTAAGAACGTTGCTTCATAAGTTCCATCAGACTGTCGAGAGGATAAAAAAAAGAAGGTTAGGAACCGCTAGTAACATCCGGCGAATCAGATCGTCGTACGGCGGAAAGTTGCGTCATGATTAGTCGAATGTGAAGAAAGGGTAGTCGGTGTTAAAATAACGACCCAAGGTCCGGTTTTCATCAAACGTTTCGCAATGTACGAGCGATTTCTCGGACGCATGTTCGTCGACGCATATAATGAAGAACAGTCACGGATGGTTACGAGGCGTCCTATCACACGGAGTGTTTCTCGGAAGTGAACGAATCAGAAAAATCCACAGAGAGTAGGACAACGTTCGCCAAGACAATCCCCCTGTATTGCGCAGCGGATAGAATGCGAGCGTATCGTTTTAAGGGGATACATCGACGAAAGATGCGAAGCGGTTAATAGTGGTTAGCGAGTGTTGCCTTGTTCAGTCTTCTCTATAGTGGTATATACGAGTGCGCGTACACAAGCAGCCAGTGCAGTGCACTAGGCGTAGTAATAATCATTTTGTGCATACCTACGGGTTGTGTCGTGTTTGTGCGGTGTCGCGTGAAGGTCGCGAGCATTTGCGAGATTGTTCGAGAACCTTGTGTCCGGAAGCACGTTACGAGAAGGTTAAAACGAAAGGTGGACGATCCTCCTTGGAAAGCCTCGGTAAAATGGCGGTGATCGGTACTCCGATTGGCGCTAAGCGATAGAAGAGGATCGCGTTCCGTTCGCGTTCGTCAAGTTTTGTTTTGATCGAGTTCGTAAGATATCTTCGCGGAAACCGGTCGATTCGTGCGTCCCTGCGAGTCATTCGGTTTTCACCCCCTCGCCCCTGTTTTTTAACCGTTCTGCGAAATTTAAGACGGCGTCCCGTTGACACGAGGAATTATAGCTAAATCCAAACGAGGACGATCAAGGTGGTAAGAACCACCGACGGAACGGTTTTCGACGGCCGCGATGCCGCATCGCTCCGACCTCGAATTTATCGAAAGGCCGAACGACAAGGACGACTCTATCGAATCTTCGTCGGGGCTTATCTATAGGTAAGTTTTGCCACGAGTGCATCTTCGTTTTTTCTCTCAAATCCTATGTTTTGCGCGCGATATTTCCCATTCCCGCAACCGTCGCTCGATCACGATTGTCAGTTTCATGCTATATTTACAGTTTCCCGTAGGAATCTTCTTGCGCACGTCGCCCCTTTGTTGTTATTTTCTCCTCGAACGAGTCTTAAGTTAGGTTAGGCACCCTGAAACCGATGACTCTGCATCTTGACGAGAAACCAGGTTGTTTTCGGCCCAGTCGCGCTTCTAATGGTCTAATCTTGCGAAACATCGCGATACTCGCGACTTTCTTGCATTTGTCTCTGCGACTACCTTATTTATCCCTTGTTTTTTTTTTTTTTTTTTTTTTTTCCGTAAACGCTGATACGTTTCATTGTCCAGACTTTTTTCGATGCTATTCCCGACGCGGATGAATCATTTTGTTACAATTTGTCATTTTCGGAGCACGTTGCGAGATTTCTAACGTTATTTTTGTACCTTTCGTCGACGTTATCTAGTAACTTATTGCATCTATGATTTTATTCTTTTCATTAATAAAGGTTTTCTCGTTAATGAATCTATGTCAGATAAAAGTTTTACAATTTATCTCTTTGTACATACGTGTACATTTGTTGGTGACAATAATTCTATTTTTAGATTCCTACCTTTTTAAAACCATATGGAAAATTTTTTTCGGCAATATAAAAATTGTACAGTGGTTGTTTTTTATGTGTTTATAAATATCTTTTTAGCTTATTAATCTGATACATTTTCCCATTTGTATGCTATGTTTGCTTTGTGAAAAACATTTTCGAAATATTGTATGAACATCCCAGGTAAATGTTGTATTGTTTTAATACAAAATTGGTTGGTATCTACAATAATTAAGACATGGCCAATTAAATTGATTAACATCATGTTTACCAGAATATCATCTATTCTCTGAAATATCAAAGTGTGCTAATGTTAATTATTTTTATGTGAATTCTTAGAGTACAATTATTCAAATGGTTTACTCTAACCTTATAATAATTTGAAACCTTATGCAACATACGAAAATAATACAAAATTTCATAATATAGGATTAAATAATTAATATATAATGTATTGTAAGCATATTTAAAAATTGTGGCCTAAATAAGAAAAGTATTCCAAAATTATTTAGTTTGTAAAAGTACAAACATTCCAGAATTAATGAAAAACAATTTTATATGCAAACACTGTAGAAAATAAATTAACTTTTAATATTTTTTATTGATGTATATTTATCATTTCGAATTATATTAACATCCAAGTTCGAAATTTATTTCGATTTTTTCAGAGTGAAAATAATGCAAAATCAGTGTTTCTGATCTTACTTTTCAGGTACCACTATGAATTAAAATTGTTCAGAATATTTTTCCTTTGTAGATTAGAATTAATAATAGGAATAGAGTACAGTAATTGGACAAGTATTGTTTGATGTTACATCAGCAACAATTCTACTGTGTTTTCCAATCATTTACAAGTTTAATATAAGTAACTGTTTCAGATCTTAAATTTACAAAGGAATCCCCCCATCTGCCAAAATGAAAATTGACAGGAGCAGATTAAAAAAGTGCACTTCTGAAGCGGTATGTAGTCTGCTACATTGTAGGTTAGATTGTAGTTTCTAATTAGCACGTTGACCGCCAGTCTAAAATTCTAAAATTGTTTGCAAGAAAATTTATGAAGCCTATTAAAATTTATTTTCCTTAACATTTCAACTTGTTTTAGTTCCACTATTAAAAGTTTTGTCACCCATATATGGGTGACGTGGCAGTCAAAGTGTTAGCGAGTGTTTTACCAATGAAATATAAAATATGTAAATTATTTATTGTTTCAATATTTCGACAAGCTGTACATATTGTAACATGAACATTATATTTATGAAAAATAAATGGTAAATTTGATGCTCGCTGGTCTTTGGGGCAATCGTGGAATATGAGAGTAGATAGGAGACACGAGTAGAAAAGTTATAGAATGGAAATGAAGAAGTAAACGATTTTTTAGCCGCCAGAATGCCAGGCGCTTATAAGCAAGCTGTGCTCGTGCTCCCATGCAGAATTGCTGGAGGAGCTAAAGCAAATCTATGCTTGGACCGTTGGTAAATGTGAACTATTCCATTGGATTGACGTGTTAGATCTCAGTGATAGCATTTTGGAAGAAGCGGCGGCGAGAAGTCCAGATAATCCATGGGAACTAGCCTGTGATCTGCCTCAAAATAGAGAGGTATAATCGAATTTTTAATCTCGTGTCGGGTACCCGCACAACCCTAAACATTGTACATAACGCTTATCCCGCTTTATAATTTATTATAGGCGAAAGAACTTCTTCTTTGGGTTCTCCATTTCACGACACTGTTGATCGAACACTCGTTTTCGCGGCATTTGTACAACAGTATGGAGCATCTGGTGTCGTTGTTATCGAGCTGCGATATGAACGTTGTTCTTTGTGTATTAAATCTTCTTTACATGTTTAGTAAACGTAGTAATTTTATTACACGTTTGAACACTGACAAGAGACAAGCTTTAATAAATAGACTTAATCATCTAGCAGAGGTCAGTGTTTTATTAAACAGGGATTGGAAATAATAAAATATACATATATTTTAATAAAATTCGAAATTATACGATATCAATATTTTAGAGTTGGGGCGGTAAGGAGAACGGTTTTGGCTTGGCAGAATGTTGTAAAGAATATCCAGACAAGGTAATTAAAACTTCTTAAACGAACTGTATTTAATAAATGCATTGTAAAAACTTTTTTAATGTTTTATACTTTGAAATATTTTCAGCCACTTCCAGCGAGTGCCACAACATTGCATTTTGAATTTTATGCCGAAAATGCTACCACATCGGATGCACCGGATACCGCGTCAAATTCTGGTACAAAGAAACTTGGACAAACAAATTTTGTAACATACATACATATAGAAAATGTGGATAAATTTGGTAAAACTCCAGCACAAATAATGAACGATTTATTAAAAGTCTACAACGTGCCTCAAGATCGACAGGTAAATATGTTGCACGCGAAACTAGAGGTAGAAAAATGAAGTAACGACGGCGAAGAAGTAAACGCATATTGAAATTTCCGGTTTAGATGGCGCTGTTCACACATATAAGACTGGCCCACAGTTTTTCCGACTACCGAAGGCGTCTGCAATGTGTTCAAGCTCGGTTGCAAGCATTATCAGTACTTGTATATAGCAATGCGCTCCAAGAAAATGCACATAGTTTGTTGCATGCTGGGCTTTTAGAAGAATTAGTCGAATTATTGGAACTTCCACACGCGCATCTCGTTGAAATGCGTGCAGCAGCATTGCGGACTCTTACTAGCATCATTCATTTAGATCGTAATCCACATTTTCCCAAGTGAGCAACAGTTCGATAATACGAACGTATCTTCGCGTCTCATGTATGGTTAATAATGATTAACGGTTTCATTTTCAGAAAACCTGGTTCAAGATTAAACATGATAATCGACGTCACTGGAGCCAGATCGTATCATGGATTTTTCCCCGTGTCAATTCGCACGTGTATCACGCAATTGACTTCGCCACAATCCGACGGGAAACCATTCCCGTTGCCGCTTGCAACAGCATTGTTCAGCTTTCTTTATCACCTTGCTAGTTACGAGGCTGGGGGCGAAGCTCTCATTAGTTGCGGAATGATGGAAAGCTTGTTGAAAATTATGAACTGGCCAGGGACCGAACTAGAACATATAACGGTGAGTAGTACATGTTATAAGTTTTCTACTGGACTTAAATTGGAGGAACGCGAGGATCACTTCGTAAGTGGTACATTTTTTTCTTTAAACTATTCTCGAGTGTCCTTTGCATTATGTATTTGCTGTATCGTTTTACTGAAAGATAAACTTGTCTTCATTATTTTTTTAACGCCATTAAACTTCCACCGGCGAAATTTTAATCCGTGTCTACGGTTTCGACTTGGAGTAAACAAATCGGAATTATTTTACCTTATAGTTCGGAACAAGGGCGGTCCGTGTGATAGACTTGATAACGAACATTGACATGCAAGCATTCCAAGCTCACAATGGCTTAGCGTGCTTCATCAATCGCATCGATATGGAAGTGAACGTTTGCAAAAAGGAGCAACCGTTCGAGATAGAACCGTTTCTTTATCAGGATAATCCGCAGTCGTCGCGCGAGAGATCCGTAGAAAGGGACGAGGATTCTGCGGTTTCGCGACGTTTGACCGATCCTTACGACGAGCGCGAGGAATCGTCGAATCCGATGGAATTCTCGGAAGACGAGAACATGAGCTCGAAGGCGGAGGACAAGAACGAACAAATACCGGAGTACACTGCTGTAAAGACTGGAAAAACTTGCCTGCCGCAGCGTGCCGCGCTTTTAAAATCAATGTTAAATTTTGTAAAGAAAACGATTCAAGATCCGGCTTTTTCTGACAGCATTAGACACGTTATGGAGGGCACATTGCCCTCGTCTCTGAAGCACATTATAAGTAATTCGGAGTATTACGGCCCTTCGCTGTTTCTTCTTGCTACGGACGTTGTGACGGTATACGTTTTTCAAGAGCCATCGTTACTATCAGCCTTGCAGGATAACGGATTGACTGATATCGTATTGCATGCTTTACTTATTAAAGAAGTAAGTAGATCAGTTTGTACGATGGAGAGATCCTGAGACAGTGTTTTCTTAAGTAGAATAGGATTCATCGGTATTATGGCATTCTCGTGTACAGGTTCCTGCCACTAGAGAAGTTTTAGGATCATTACCTAATGTGTTCAGCGCCCTGTGTTTAAATCAGCGTGGACTGGAATCATTTGTGAAACGACGCCCGTTCGGACGTTTGTTCAAAGTATTATTGTCGCCTGTCTATTTGTCAGCGATGAGACGACGCCGAAGCGCTGACCCGTTGGGCGATACGGCGTCGAATTTGGGCAACGCAATGGATGAGCTAATGAGACATCAACCAAGCTTGAAGGTTGACGCGATTGCCGCCATCATAAAAGTACGATCCTTTCCGATAACATGCGATACGCTATTTAAATTCAGATTTATTTATAAGTCAAGTTCCTAGGTGCTCTATCTGTAAATGAACAATCCTTTCGTCTAAAATTAAAAAGGTAAAGTTTGTTAAAAATATTATACGGGTCGAAGTATCGAAACATGCTCAACTTAAGTACCTTATAAACGGCGTGTTGCACGAAGAATTGTTATATATAAAAGTTGTAAGGCTTCGACCGGGTTATTAGGCGGTATGTGAATATTTTTATTCTAAAAAAAAAAACTTACCAGTATACATATAATGCTTTTACAGTCTTTACTTTTTTAATTTTTTATTCATCAAGGGACAATAATGGTGCACGACGGTGCTTCGTTTAACGTGTAACGGTGATTTAGAAATGTTTATTTATTGCCGTGCAGCTGCTGGAGAAACTTTGGGTCCTGGGTTTCGATCCTCGTTACGTATGTCTGCGTGCGGCAAGTAAATCCGACAATTCGCCATCGAATTCAGCGTCCGGGGGTCGTCAGTCTTCCGGTCAGTCAGTCGGTGTCGGTGTCGGAGACTCTGGTGGCGACGGAGGCGGCGGCGGCGGGAGCAGCAGCGACGAAGAAGAGGAAGACGAAGAGGAAGCCAGCACAAGTTCTCATCCTCAGCGCGAGGAACAACCTTCGCCGTCGCCAGCGCAACCAGGTCCACCACCACAGCCCAGAGAGAAGACACCGATCGCTCTGGTCGAATATATACACAACATCATGAAATTCGTCGATGCTATTCTCAGTAACAATTCCACGGACGATCATTGTAGAGAGTTTGTCGCCCAGAAAGGCCTTGTGCCTTTGCTGTCTATTCTAGGGCTGCCGAATCTTCCAGTGGATTATCCAGTTGCACAAGCAGCTCAGGCTGTGGCCACAGTTTGTAAGAGTATCTTGGTAAGTAAGCTCCATTGGTGTTTGTAAAAGGTTTGAAAAAAGGGCGTATGTTACATTTCATAAATTTCAGAGGATATAAATGATTAACTGTTCGCTGCACCGGATGGAGCAGCTAGTGTAGCATACGCGTTTTTTTTTTTCTTTTTTTTTTTATAGCGGATAAGTGATCGATTGTGTAAACTGTTCGGTGTTCCCAGAATCTTGCGCACGAGCCGTCGGTCCTCAAAACTGGCTTGTCTCAGTTGAACGAAGTTTTGAATTTACTGAAACCGCTCCACAGTCACATGGAAACGCCAGGCGGTTCCGTTTTATTGCACGAACTCGCATCTGCTCCAAATTTGGAAACAGCCTTCACCAGTGTCACGGCGACGCCATTGCTCCATGCTATGAATGCCGCTCATGGATACGTAGTGATGTTCGTTCATGTATGCCGTACCAGCCAGAGCGAGATCAGGAATCTATCTATGAACCATTGGGGATCAGAGCTTGGTCTGTCCGTTTTGAAAGGTCTCTCCGAGCTGTATATGTCTTTGGTCTGGGAAAGCACGCTGCTGTTGGCGCTCTGCAGCGAAGACACTATTCCAGCCGGCTGTGACTTTGGAAAGGAGGATATGGATAAATTGGTGCCACCCGAATTGAAGGTGCGTGTTGATCCGTTTAGAAAACGTAAATCTGTAGTCGATTTAATTCTACACGTCAAGAGTTTTCGTACGTTCTATCGAATACGTTTATACGCTTTAGCACGTTGAACAAAATTTTTCGTTTTCATCCACTGTAGTTAGATATTAACGATTTAAAAGGTAGTGAATATTAGTTTGTAATGAGTTTCGAACGATTTATGACTCAATATTTCAAATTAATGAACTAGAATGATGGCGAAACTTCTGGCTGGTCAGGTGGTGTATCCTCAGATATGGGAAGTAATGGAATGACTACAGCCATGGAAGCCTTGAGTACAGATCCACCACCTGTACCCATGGAGGTACAAATATTATAAATTTTAACAAACAATCGAGTATACAGAACAAAGTAGAAAAACATGACTTACGTAGATAGAACGAACTTTTTTTTACTTTTACCGAAATCCATTCTTAACGCAACGTTCGTTCTGGTAGGTGGACGATAAGCCAAACGTTGGTACAGGTAGAGCATCTCCAAGTTCTCATCAGCTTAAATACATTAAGCCATTGCTAGGCGCTTCGTCTAGGTTGGGAAGAGCTCTGGCAGAGTTGTTCGGTCTACTCGTGAAGGTACTTGGAAATCTATTCACGAAGTAAACATTTTAACACGTTGACTGCCGGACCAAACCCCTGAAATTGTCCACGGAATCACAATTTCTCATAGAACTTATTTCTACAGCCTCGTTAAAATTCAAGAGTCTTATCTGGATTTACTTTCTTTAACATCTAATCTTTTTAGCTCCTTGGCGAAGATAAAACCCAGACCTAACCCACGTATGGGTGACGTGGCAGTCAATGTGTTAAATATCTTCTATACCGCGTCTTGTTTGTTATTAAAAACTCGTTTCGAGCCGTGTATATTTCTAATTTTATTATTTAAACCTATTCAGCTTTGCATGGGTTCTCCAGTGAGACAACGCAGAGGGCAGCAGATGCCCCTAACACCAGCCCTTCCTTCGCAAGCAGCTAGAAGCGTAGCAACTGCCTTAAATTGTTTATTGACTCGTGGATTGTCGTGGGATATATTACCCCCATCGCCGATACCCAAGTTTAAATTGACCTTCTTGATATGCTCTGTAGGTTTCACATCTCCGATGCTATTCGATGAAAAGAGGTATCCGTATCACTTGATGCTTCAAAAGTTTGTTAAATTGGGTGGACAGAATGAATTTTTTAAGTAAGTTTTCACGAATAAGTGGACCTTTTTATTTTTGAATTAAGTTAAAACGTCTTATTTTCAATCGATCTTTTTTATTCATCGCGCGTACGATAATAAATTTTTAGCACTTTCCATTGGGCGTTGTCCGGAGGAGGGCAATTTCCATTATCAGAAGGATTAGAGCATCCGAACTTGCCCGATGGCACTGGAGAATTCTTAGATGCTTGGCTGATGCTTTTGGAAAAGATGGTGAATCCTAAAGCCATTCTGGATTCGCCTCATGTCGTTTCTTCGAAGTGCACCGGAATATACAAAGTGTATGAATTCGATCCGATAAAATATCTCATCGACATTCACAAGGTTTGTTTCGAGTGATCTAAACAGTTATGGCTTCTATACAGTTATTATTATTTTTATTTCATTGACATTACAGAAAGCCTTTGAGGCAGTGATGTTAATGTGGGGCAAGAAACCGTTGAAAAACTATGGAGCGCGTATGACTGAATCGATTTTATCAATTTTACGACACATTCTGCGAGGTGAAAAAATTATTAAGGTGCGTAACAAATCAAAATTTCAATCGCATTATTGTATTGTGTGTACATGTTATATTTTAGAATGATTACAAAAAAAAAAAAAAAAAAAAATGTACATTAACAGGAACGCGCTGAAAAAGAAGAGAATACCGAAGGAGCAAATACGAGTAACACCAGCGGTGGTACCAGTGGAATTGGAAGGACTGGAGCAGTACCCGATCGCAGAGAAGAACCGGAAGCGGACGTAAATTTAGAACTCCTTAGACAACTAATGGATATGGGTTTCAGCAGAGCCCATTGTATAGAAGCTCTGCTTCATACGTTGACAGTCGAACAAGCTACCGATTATCTTTTGACCAATCCCGCTACATTACGCAGATCGGTATGTAACAAAATATTTAAAAATAACGAGACAGCGAGATTGTTATTGAATATTGTTGTAGGACGTACCAGCGGGCGATGCAAGTGGACAAGGTCTGATAATGGACCTGGAATTAGTCGACGATGATCAAATAATGCATGCTATAGCGATGTCGCTCGGAGAAGCGGAAACGCGAAAAGTTTCCGGCCCGGAGGAACCCAATCGCGAGATCACTTTAGCAGAAAGTATAGACGAATTTACAAATAATGCTTTAAGTCAGTGTTTGAATTTGTTGGATCTCATGCCTGACACCGTGTACAGAGTTTGCGATTTATTGGTTACTATTACTAAGAGAAACGGAGACGAATGGCGCGACAATATGTTACTACAACTTATGAAAGAGGTGAGATTTTACAAATATCCGCGATAATTACTCGTAACGTGCAATTATCACTAATTATTTTTACGTGTATTCTGTTTTTCCAGATCGGCAGTCTAGTAGATTATTTAATTGATACCACTCAGAATCAATATCCAACAGCTGGTACGCGATTGGTAGAATGCGAGGAAGCTAACAAAGTTGCTGGACGAATCTATCTTTACACCTTGTTCTTCGAGGTAAATATATGTATTAATTTGTTACGATTCGTTCCACTTGATGCGGTATAACGTGCACTACGAATATGGCAAAATATACGTCCTATTCGTTTTCTCTGCTTTGCGCAGGGAACGTTCCAAGAAATGCGAGTGCCATGCGCTCAGATCGTAGAAGAATGTGACATCCTGGACTTGCTCGTGCGTTTGCTAGTAGTAAGCGAGGGACCGTTGACAGCGAATAAAAATAAACCCGTTAAAGATAATAATAAAAATGCAACACCGACTACAAACACTCCGAAATGGTTGGCACCTTTGTTGTTGCTTATAGATCGGTTGGAAAAAGTGGCGATATTGACCAAGAGAAAGCAATTGATGCACAAGGTATGCAGATTTATGTAATTCGTATTATATAAATATACGAACCGCTTTATAAAATTTTGTAAAAAACGACGGTTTCTTTTTCTTTTGAAACAGGTGACGAATAGAATGTGGAAGTGGTTTGACCTGAGTACGGGAAAATGGACATTATACTCTGCGCTAAATAATCGAATAATCAACGATTCTTATTGGGCCGGCGAGTCCAGTGCCAGAATCACGTGCAGCAGACGAAGATATCTCATCACCTTTTCGTCGATGACACAGGTGAACGAAGAGAGCGATAATAGAAGGCCCATCACGATGGGTTTCAAATTGAATAACGGAACCGAGGACGGCGGATCCGGTTCCGACTCGAACATGGATACCGACGACAGCCCGGTGGAAAACAAAAGGAATACCGTGGTGCAAGGGTTGAACCCGAGCATAGCTCCAAGCATTATACGTACCTGTGTAAAATTATTGGCGATCCCGGTGGATCGAGACGCTCTCCACGCTTTGATGAAAGTTTGCCTGCGACTCACCAGAGATTACGAGAACGCGAAAATATTTGCTCGGGAGGGCGGCGTGAAGCTTCTATTGGAAATGACGCAAGCGAGCAGCTTCATCGGATGCGTACCGTTGAGCACCCTTCTAATACGCCACACCTTGGAGGAACCGCGAACGCTTCGACTGGCTATGGAGAAGGTGATACGCACTCGTACCCAGGGTAACTTGCCCCCGGCGTACAAAGAGATTCTGTTCATGACGCGTCAGATCAGCAGCGCCGTTTGTCGGAACCCGGAGGTCTATCAAGAGGTATGCAAAAATATTCTGAGAGTCGATGTGAATTTGCCGCGAAGAGAGGACGCTGACAACAGATTGATCGTGAGGGCTTTGCACCCGAGGCATTCCCCGGCGCTGCCGATGGTGGAAGAGGTCTCCGTGTCCGTCGTACACGATCTCCTGAACGCTCTTATAAAACCCATGCCGATTCTGCCCGACGAAAGCACCGCCACGCCGACGGAAAGCCCGGTGAAGAAAACGCTTCGCTCTACGGTGCCGACGACGACCTCGCGCCCTCATGTTCTCAGGAACAACGCGACAGCCACGAACGATCCCCTGGACGACGATGACCAAGTGTCTCACATAATTCCGCTGAAGATCTATCCGGACGTCGATAACAATGGGAAAGTCGAGCCGGAGGACGCGAAGAAACCGTCGCTGGCGAAATCTGCCATACTGAAGATCCTCGCGGAGGCTGTTCGCTCGTACGGCGCGGTCGCGTGCTTGATCACGGATCACGTGTATCGGGCAGGACAGAGCGAGATGGTGGCAGAGGACACGACGGCGCTCGCCTTTCTGTTGGACAAATTGCTGCCAATGTTGCCGGAGAATTCTAGCGACAGACAGTGCAGCAGCATGGCCAGAATGTTGATAGCCGCGATCGCCTCTTGCAACCACTCGCCGGAAGCACAGACAACGTTGGTCACCGAGGTGAAGGCTGCATTGACGAGAACCCTGATGCTTCCCGAGTGCTCCGAGAAGCACGCTCAGCTTCAACTGTTGATCGGTTTGATATCGACCATGATCGACAGCTGCCCTCCGCCGAACCCGACTCATCAGCTTCGGGCCTCTCTGAAGATGCATCAATATAATAACGTCAACTACATCGTCAGGCTCATGCTAAGGAAGGGGATAATAACAGATTTGGCAAAAATCCCGCACAGTCTGGATCTATCTAGCCCGAACATGGCTGGCACCATCAATGCTGCTTTGAAACCGCTCGAGACACTCTCTAGGATCATAAACCAACCGATGCCAGGAGCGGTTACCAATCAATTTTCAAAACCGAAAAGCAGAACCGTTCACGAAGAGCCTATAGGAGAGCAAACGGGAACTACGACGTCGGAAGCGACGCATGCTGTTGGCGAGGAAGCAAACGAGGATCCGGAGAACACGGAACACGACATATCCGTTACCGCTGAAAGCCTCGAGCCCACCTCGGAGAGCCAGGTGCACGAAGAAGGGGACGAAGCTGCGTTGGAAGACATCATGGATCAGTTTCTAGAAAGGTAACCATATGTAAATGTTGTTATTTTGTTTTATTTCGTCCAGTGAAACGAACATTAATACTTTGGGGCCCGAGAACTTGATTCATTTTAGGATATTCTTTGGTTATTTACAACTCGAAAGCTAAGGAGTAAAGGACACTTTAACTTTTAAGAAATAGTAATCTGTAAAAATGCTATTCTGGCCTGGTCGCATAGCTTTATCTACCTGAGTGTTTCGTTTGGCTGGGCGAATTATAGGAGTTACATATATATTTCTCGCTCTTACATATTTAAAAAATCTTTAAACATTGACAATGTCTCTGAGAAACGGTTCAAAGTAAAGCAGAATAAAATACAGTGTGATGTATTATTAGCATGAGAATTTATATCAGTATGAATAGTATCATTGCTTCAGGAGCTTTTAAGCTACTGTACTTATAATCAAGTAGTGTACTATTCTCCAGGGACGGCTCAGCCGTGGCGGAGGAACAACCCTGTCGGCCCCATAGGCCAATGGATATCGATGACGAGAGTCTAGCTATACGCGACGGAGAAGGTGATTTCGACCCAACACGAGACACCACAGTAAGAGTAACATCGCTTTTCTTGTAATTTTACTCGATTTTTCGCAACCACCTTGCTTTTAATACAACACGATGTCGGATCGTATCTTTCAGGAGGATTTGATGAGCTCCGACTCGGACTCTGACAGCAATCCTTCCGATGACAACGAAGATGAAGTACAGGACGATGAGGATGAAGAAGAGGAGGAAGAAGACGATGGTAATGCAGTAATAATTAATAAAATGTTGCCGGTTGATTCTAAATGTTTTAAAGGATGGTGATATTATAATCGTGTAAATACCTATCAGGTGAAGAGAATGAAGAGGAAGAGGAGGAGGAAGAAGATGTATCCTCGAATTACGAAGAGGATGGAATAGAAATTTATGGGAACGTCGGTGATACTAGCGTCTTCAGGATGTTCCCAACGAACGAACGTGATGGTAGCAACGTTGTCATGATTCAACATAATATCGACAATCAGGACAACGTAAATTCTTCTACTCCTGTTATAGCGCGACCTACTCTTCCATGGAGTACAACGTTTCCTCTGCCTCTGGAGATTTTCGAAGATTCGCCTTCAGTCTCCGAAGGCAATGGTAAGCGAATTTTCAACAATTTATAACAACTTTATGAAGAGTCGAAACATTCACAGGTACGTATTTTTGTTTAGGTATTAACTTGCACCCGTTGCTAATACCACAGAACAGTTTGGAAGCTGCTAGTACAAGAGCTCAGAGAGCTCTACGACAACGAAGGTATCAGTATCTTCAATTAACAAACACACGAAATCCGAACCCGCCAGTAATATTACAAAGGTGAATTAAATCGAAATACGTTAAGATATTTGATAAAATTTAATTGAAGAATTAAATTGGAAAAACTAATTTCGGATACAGAAACAATAATATATCTTTATGTTATTTTTTTAAACAAGAACAGTTTCAATTACCTCGATTTTTATTGTTGTACATAATGCATAAAAATTTATAATTCAACAAGTTTTTTAGTCTAAGAAATTATGGTTTAATAAACGATGCAACCCATTATTGTGTTTATAATTATAGACTTTTAGGCCCGGCCGCGCAAGCGCTTCCTTTGTCAGCAAGTCAGGTTTTAGCCTCGAGTTTTCGAGATACGCGCGTTGTCGTGATGGACAATGGTCTTGGAATATTCACGAATCAAGAAGAGGAACCAGTAGATTATGTGGTTCGTAATATTTTGTTCTTTAAGCGTTAAAAGTTATTTAATCTCTTACCGTACGATTCAATTACAGGTAATTTTTCAAACTATACATTTTATTGTTTGGAATTTTTTTTTTTTTAGGATCAATCCGGTTATCTTTTCGGACCCAGTCTTGCAGCTACATTGAACAACATTCCAACTGCGTTACACTGGTGGATCGAAGAAAGTAAATTATTAGATGGAGATTCTCAGCCAGATTGTTGCGTTGGTAAATATTAAGTCATATTCAGAAATAATGTTTCAACGTATTGATTCTCAAAACTAACTATAAATTCTGTATTAAAGGTGTTGTACATAAACTAATCCCTGATCTGGAGAAACGCCGAAATGCGGTACTAGCGGAGCGAAAGGAACGGCGTAAGAAGCAGCACAATTCCGAGAAAAAGGACGAGAAAGATGGCAAAGAGGAAAAAGATCATCTGAATAATACGGAATGTACGTTTACGATTTACTTGACCTTTTTTTTAACAATTCTCGATGTATCGATATTGTAAAATTTTAATACGCGATTAAAATCTGGTTACTTTTAACGATTATTTCAGCTGGTACTTCTGCCGTAATACCCATGGAGGAGCAAAGGTCGACCGCCTCGACGTCCCAAAGAGAAGACGCGAACCGTCTCGTCACCGTGTTCGAAACTTCCGTAGAAACGACTCGACAGGAACGTACGCCGGACGAGGACATTATCGATGTGACGGGCGAAATGGAAGTAACGGTTCAAGAAGACGAGGAACGACCTCCGCCGCCGCCACCGCCCGAGGAACAACCTACAGAACCCAGAGATCCCCGAATAAGCAATCGAAACCCGACTTTAGAGCTGGCTGAAAGTATCGTCGACTCCGTGCTCGGACCCTGCGCGTCCGAAGCGAGCAGGCTAAGACAAACCGACCGTATCGTTGAAGGATCCAACACCAACGAGACGTCCAGTCGGTCCATCGCCAACGAGACGTCTAGTCGTTCCAACGCGTCCATAGTGGTTGATTTTAGTCAAGAAGGTAACGAAGACTTGTTGAGAGAAAGTGACTCGTCTGAATGGATCAGAATGCTTTTAACCAATGACAGTCAATCAAACGTTGAACGAAACGCAAATATTCTCAATCAAGATTCTGCGACTTCAGCATCAGAAAACATTAATCCAGAAACGTCAGAACCACAGCAGCAACAGCCGCAACAACCACAACAACCACCACCGCAGCAACAGCCACAGCAACCAGAGCAACCACCACAACCATCGCAGCAGCAGCAACAGCAACAGCAACAGCAGCAACAACCTCAGGAACAGCAATTACCGGATGGCGTGGACCCATCGTTCTTGGCCGCGTTGCCGGAAGACATGCGCGATGAAGTAATTGCCGAACAGCTCAGGTACCGTATAATAGATGCAGAACTATCAAACACGAAATACGCTGTTCTGATTAAAAACTGTTCAAATTTTGTATAGACTTCAACGAATCCGACAACGAGCACAAGCAACCGTGGTCGAGGAATTAACAGGACCGGTCGAAGTAAATCCTGAATTTCTGGCTGCCCTGCCGCCGGCGATCCAGGAAGAGGTTCTCGCGCAACAACGTTTGGAACAACAACGACATGCGGCTGCATCCGCCAACCCAGAAGATCCAGTCGACGCAGCAGCGTTCTTCCAAAATTTGCAGCCATCTCTCCGACAGGCGATCTTGACTGACATCGAGGAATCGCAAATATCGGCTCTTCCGCCAGATTTGGCACAAGAAGCTCAGAATCTCAGGAGAGAATGGGAGGCTCGAAATCGACATATGATGCAAGAAAGATTCTACAATCATGTCAGCCAAGGGAATGCTACCTTGAACAGTATATTAAGGAGTAGAGGAGGCAGAACTGGCACGACGCGTTATGCGATTCACGCGGTAACGCAAAGAGGACAATGGAGCCCGTGGAACGTGCGCGGTGATTCTAGTATAACGCATCAGGGAGCCGGCCTACGATTAAAGGGCAGACAATTGCTGGACCACGAGTCCATGGCCTGTCTATTGGTGTTACTGTTTGTCGACGAACCAAAAATTAATACGCTGAGGCTCCACAGAGTCATCAGGAATCTCTGCTATCACGGTAGCACAAGGGAGTGGGTGGTCAAAGCCTTGCTAAGTATCATGGAAAGAAGTAATGACGAGAACAAAGAAATTGCCGCGGATTTCGGCGGAAAGTTCAAAAGGAAAAGCCTGATGTCCACGATGGATTATCAGTAAGAGATTTTTCTCTCAAAGTAGGGGAACTTAATGTTGGAATAATGTGTTTAACTTCTATTATATCCTCAGTTTCTCCAATATTTTCGACCAAAGAAACAACGCACAATCGTGGATAAATATTAGCATCGACGCCGCACTTGGATGCAGAGCAAACGTCTTTCATATCGTTAGACACGGAGTCAAGAAGTCGGCAAGGCAAGGCAGCAGTATCGCTATTCATCCCCAAGCAGCGCCTACAGTGTGCAGGTAAATCGATCAAGCTTATTAGCATGATACATCGAGCTAGTTTACACCGGCAAGAGAATTGTTTGTGTCTTCCTTTTTCTGTGCGCACTCTACGTCTTTTGTTTACGCGTCTGTTTACAGACACACGCTAGATTTACTGATATCGCTGGCGAAAGGGTTCTCCGGATATTTCGTGCCTCTCAAGTCCAAGGAGACGGACGAGAAGGAAGCCAATAAAGAGAAAGATTCGAACAACAAAGAAGAGCCGGGTTCCAAGAACAAATCCGCCTCGAAGCCTGGAAAGAGCGATCAGCCAGATTTCTGGGATATGCTCTTGAAACTTGACTCGTGCGCCTCGAAGAAGGGAAAATCGGTAGCTAGGACGCATTCAAATTCGAATCTGGGAAATGAGCCGGAGTACAGCACGACTACCTTCGAGGCCTCTGCATTCGGTCAATTGATATCGATGCTGAACTGGACGGTCATCAAGCGTAGCAGCCAGCTAACAGACAAACTGCTGAGATTGTTGTCACTGATCTCGATCGGGCTGACGGAGGTGAACCCATATCGCAGACAAGAAGGAAACAAGAATAAAAAGGCAGACGTAAACAAGGAACAGAGCATAGCCGCGCCTGAAGAACATCTCCGATTGGCTGTGCAGGTCCTGACCAGCAAGAGCTGCTCCGAAGAGGGACTGGAAGATGCGACTGCTCTGCTGCTTAATCTATCCCATTGTCCTGATCCCACTAGGCAACTGGTAAGTTCGTCGTTAAATCTGGTTAACGTGGTCATTCTAAATATTCCAAATATAAATACGTCTATGGTATATTTTTTAACATATTGTCAGATATTAAAATTACTCATGGAAGGCGCCATGGAGCTGGCTAACATGGTTTGCGAGCATATAAACGATCTGATGATGGAGTTGAAAGTTTTGAATCACGAATTAAGACGTACTTACATTGACGAGCAACCTTCGACCAGCGCTGGGGGTCCGCGTGGAGTTCTTATGGATAGGTATGCTTTACGGTCAGAAATTGTATCAATTGTTAATACAAAGCGTACGGTTGAAATACCACGCTCTAAATCACTATTGCTGGGTAATATATTGACACGCGGTCTTAATCGGTAGGTTTACGAACGAAAATGTAATAGTCACAGCACCGAGCAAGGTCAAAGCTGGAAGTGACCTTCAGTTACCATCAATGGCTGCCCTTGTTAGCAAAACTTCTAGTCAGGCATTCTTCTTAAGAATACTTAAAGTGATTGTACAGATAAGGGAAGCTGTACGTTTAGCAAACACTAAGAAAACAGGTACGCTCGATGAATAAAATTTTATTGTTAATGTAAGGAATGTTGTAAATTGTTGGAATGCTTTTTGAATATCGTTTACAGTCAATCAAACCACAGAAGGTACCGGTGACACTGCTACTACGAATCTAGCTATAGAAGCAGGCGATGATAATACCGATGCTGACGTTCCGATGGACACGACGCAAGCAAACTCGTCTCAATCTGAAAATGCGAAACCCACTACTACCGCCTCCACCAGTAAGTAATAATCAATTAATAGGCATACGAAGATACACGAGATCTGTAATGTTTGTTTCTTACAGGCGAAGAAAAGCTGCCGTTATTAAGTGAAAGTTTAGTACTGGATCATTTGTGGGAAACGCTCAGCGCCTGTCTATTGGAATTGGAATATACCCCGGATCATCACGCTGTTTTAGTTCTACAGGTAAGATATATTCCCTATTTCGAATTTAATTGTCAAGCAGAAAATTAATGCCCTGTAATAATAAATTCTTACGTGTTGTATTTTACAGCCGGCAGTAGAGGCATTTTTCCTGGTACACTCGTCGTTGAGTACCTCTCGCGAACGTCAAATGAGTACAAACGCAGAAAACCGTGAGGTTGTTCCCGACTTGGCGCCAGTTTCACCGATATATTCGGACAACGAGGGCACATCCCAATCAGAGGCTACCATTAACACTTCTTGGGACATGACTCCACCGCCCCAAAAGACACTACCACCGGACCAACTCAAGTTCCTCAAATTTGCTGGTACGATATTTATTGTTTCTTCTTATAAAACACAGGTCCAATAGTCCTCCAATTTTTTTGTAACACGAAAATCAAATTCTTCGGTCAGTCGAACCAGAAATCTTAATGAATATTTTTTTTTTTTTTACAGAAACGCACAGAACTGTTCTTAACCAAATTCTTCGTCAAACAACCACGCATCTCGCGGATGGACCATTCTCTGTGTTGGTGGATCACACGAGAGTCCTTGACTTCGACGTGAAAAGACGATACTTCCGGGCAGAACTCGAACGAATGGACGAAGGTATTCGCAGAGAAGAACTGGCAGTGCACGTTCGCAGAAGTCATGTCTTCGAAGATTCGTTCCGGGAGCTTCACAGGCGAAATGCCGACGAATGGAAGAATCGATTTTACATCGTTTTCGAAGGCGAGGAAGGCCAAGATGCTGGTGGATTACTTAGAGAATGGTACGTCATCATTTCGAGGGAGATTTTCAATCCCATGTACGCTCTGTTTACCGTGAGCCCCGGTGATCGAGTAACATACATGATCAACTCTTCGTCGCATTGCAACCCCAACCACTTGTGTTATTATAAATTCGTCGGTCGAGTTATCGGTAAGTTTTCACCTTTCTCATTTTCTTAATAAATAATGGGACACTTTGGGAAGATGTCTAATACGAACAATTACTTTCGCAGCCAAAGCGATCTATGACAACAAGCTCTTGGAATGCTACTTTACTCGTAGTTTTTATAAACACATTTTGGGAATATTGGTGAAGCACACGGACATGGAAAGCGAGGATTATAGTTTTTACAAAGGGCTCGTGTATCTCACAGAACATAATATCGCCGATCTTGGATACGAATTGACCTTCTCCACGGAGGTAATTTCATTTTTCGTTTATTTATTCCATTCGATAAAAATTATCGTTATACACGTCATTTGCATCTACGCTAATGTTTGCTCCAGGTGAACGAATTCGGTGTGAACGATGTACGAGATTTAATACCAAATGGACGTAACATCATCGTTACCGAAGAAACGAAGTTAGAATACATCCGTCTTGTGTGTCAGATGAAAATGACCGGAGCAATTCGTAAACAGTACGTGAAATGACATTTGTTGTTTTAGTATTTTTACAGGTCATTAAACGCGTTTGATTTGTTTCGTGTAGATTGAACGCGTTCCTAGAAGGTTTTTACGACATTATTCCGAAACGACTGATCTCCATATTCAACGAGCAGGAACTTGAGTTGTTAATTAGTGGATTACCCAATGTAGATATCGAAGATCTTAAGGCCAATACAGAGTATCACAAGTATAGTGCAACTTCTTTACAAGTAAGTACCGCACTGCCACGAGAAGAAGGCGCAACGTATTTACATCCCCACTCCTGCTGCAGTCCGCTAATTGGCTGTTTTCGACCAATGCCTGTGAGTCAGCGGACTGCAACAGGAGTGGAGATCTAAACACACTGTGCCTTCTTCTCGTGGAAGAATGATATGTTGTACTATTAGGTCATTTGAAACATACAGTTGACCTGTACAGGACCGTTTAATGCGGATGGTGTCACGTTAACAACAAATATTTTTACTTACCATTTAGATCCAGTGGTTCTGGCGAGCGCTCCGAGGTTTCGATCAGGCAGACAGAGCCAAATTTCTACAGTTCGTCACCGGAACTTCCAAGGTGCCGTTACAAGGTTTTGCCGCTTTGGAGGGAATGAACGGTGTACAAAAGTTCCAAATTCATCGCGAGGACAGGTCAACAGACAGGCTTCCGTCAGCTCATACATGGTAAGTTTTTTCATACAAGAATTTAAAAAGAAAAGACCTTTACCATTACAAGACATGCCTTGTTCGATACAAAAGTTTCTCGGTTTCTTCGACATTTTCGAGGTTATGTGTAAAAAATTTCTATGGGTAGCGACGGGACTAACGAGAAATTATAAATAATTTCTCTTCTTTTTTTTTTTTATAGTTTTAATCAACTGGATCTACCGGTTTACGAAACATACGATAAACTTCGTACGAATTTATTGAAAGCAATCCACGAATGCAGTGAAGGGTTCGGTTTCGCCTAAATTCTTGCAAAAAGTTTGGCAATTCGTGCGTGACTTTTGCATGGGGAAATCGAAGAGCGAAGGGGAAGCGGTAAAGAAAAAGAACAAAATAAGCAAAGAAGAATCGTGTGGGGGAATGAAAAAGTTGCTAAATAATTGTAAAAGTACTGTGAGAACGTTTGATCTTCGCTCAAGATCTAGTATATAAATGTTTACTCCGCTATATACATATTAAAACTAAAAAGGCGTATGTATATACGTATAATTAACAATGTAATTACCGATGATTCGTCGCTAGAGTTTATTTTGTTGAACGATCTTAAGAGAGAGAGAGGGAGGGTGGGAGAGGGAGAGAGTGTGTATGTGAGAGAGAGAGAGAGAGAGAGAGAGAGATGCAGAGCTTAACGATAATTCCCGATAGAAGAAAGACTTAATCGGACACTTTATAGTTAAGGACCTTTACGATTAAGGTAACAGATAAGGAATTCGGGGTAATTGATCGTTAAGAGAAAGCGGCGGGCTGAAGTTAATGTAATATAAATTGCGACTCGAAGCCAAGAGCCTCTCCTCTTGAGTACAGATCTCGCAAAGGAGAAAACCGATAATAATTTGCCGAACGAACGATGGCAAAGAAAAGAAGAAAAATAAAAGAAAAAAAAAAAAAGCGACGGAAGTGTGCCTGCAATCCGAGTACATGTTTATTTCCCTATATGCGTGAAAGATAATTGCAAGGAGCTAAAATACGTGAGCACCTATACGTGTGTATGGATGTGATCCGAACGACACAGAGAGAGAGAGAGAGAGAGAGAGAGTGAGAGAAAGAAAGAAAGAGAGAATAATTATTCAAGAACCGATTAGACACGAGCCTAAATACGAAAGAAAAAAAAAATCATTTCATGATGTTATATCCTTACGCCCGCAAGAAAAAAGAAAAAAAAAAATAACGTATGGTTGTACACTATTAGTATTAATAATTATATTATCTAATTCTTAATCGATAGTAATGATCATTAATTAATATCGTTTTAATATTAATCATTCGAGAAATGTGATGTTGAAAAAAGGAAGTCGTGTAACTTTTTTCCTTTTCTTTTCTTTTTTTTCCTTACGGATATAGCGCAATCACGTCCACACGCCCCCCTGCTCCCCCATGTTCGATTCCTCGAACTTACTTCGCCAATCTCTGCTAACTTCTGCTCCGAGAAGGTAATGAAATTCATGCGAACGGATGTTAAGAATTTTGTAAACACATCGAATGGGACAATATACCGTTGGAGAAAAGCATAGATCCATACTCGGACTCTTTTTCGCGATATCGTTAGGGAATTATTACTTAGGTATTCGCAGAATAAACTAAATGTTGTATTTCTTATAAATCAATTGCGTTTTTTTTTTTTAATTATACGTTGATACACCTCTCGATTTCTCAGTTTTCGTTCGAGACGAATGGTTTTTTTTTTTTTTTTTTTAGCAAACTTAGGTAAAAGAAGATTTTAATGAATGTCCATGCGTAATGTGCATTCGTCAGATGAATTTTACGGCTATACCGATCCGAGACGACGAAGCAATTGAAAACCTTATAGTCCTATTTAAAGATGAATAGTCTGACCGCTTTTACGAGCAATTTCTGATTAAAATTATGATATTTCTTATTTGGTCAATGTTATAAAATTCTATGTTTACGTATTACTCCCGATAGAATATCGATAAACTATAAACAAAATGGTCGCTATTCACAATATGTCTGTAAGAAATTGTTTTAATGAACCTTCGTTAAAATGGTTCGTTAGAAACCCAACGGCAGACAGTATTCCTGAAAATTTGTCTTCGATAGGAAGTTCAATATCGATATTCGTTTGAAAACATGAAATTGGAGTTATGTTTATTTTAAAATGGCGCTAGAAGGAGACAGTTTGATTTGTGTATTAATTTTGAGATATTTAAAAAAAAAAGAATTTTTACCGGAATTATTTTTTTACATTTCTACAACCGTGAAAAAAGAACAAGACTTTTCTCGCATGTATATACAAACTTTGTACAATGGGCTTATGTGACAAAGTAATAAAAAGAATACACAAAGAAAATGTAAACTACAATTGTATTATATATCAAAACTATTTACAATTTATTATAATGAAGTAAAATCGGACAGCTTCTATAACTAAAATGGTAGAAAAAGTTGTAATTGATCAATGTGAACAGTATATTATTCTGTAATTGTAATTACGAAACTGTATCTTGGAACGCATCATAGAATTTAAAAACTTCTTAGGTAGATTAGGAGAAGAAAAAAAAAAACGCGTCGACAGTTTTATGGTGTAACCTTAGGTTTTAGTTCTTCGAAGCACGGTCTAAGAAATATGGAGTTTTTCTTCGCTGGATTATAATACTCGTGACCCTGTAACGTTAATAATACTGTAATTAATAATCCCTTTTTTCTTTTCAATGTTATATACAACCTTAAAAAGAATATTAATTTAAAATACTATCAGCAACGATGTTTTTTTTAGAAACAATAATACTGTGTACATAAATTAAATTGATTGAAACTTGTAAAAGTTAAGAATATTCGCATAATTTTTAGTTTCCTTTGATCCAGTATTTCTCAAACTGCCCGTCCGCGAATCTTAGTGGAATCTAGAAGCTTTCAAAAGAAAAAATAAGAAACAAATTATACAACAAAAATTAACCTTTATAATTAATAACCAGGTACTCGGGTACCCTTTGACGTATTTAGTTAACAAATTTTTTATTTCCCTCGTTGAAACGTGGCCAAACCAATCTGGATCCTTGAAAGCGAAGTTTGAGAAATACTGCTTGAACACCTCGATCGTACGGCAAAAGTAATATGGCGTATAGATTGACGTAATTAACTTACCTTTGACCAATCGTAAGATACCGCGTATGCAAATATTTGTCCATTGTGATTGAAACAGCATCGTGCAATAGGCTGCTCCATAGGATCGGAAGATTTTAATTTAGTCCTCGAATCCTTGTCCCAAAATCCGAAAGTACCATCGCTACCAACGGTTGCAACAGTGCCATGAACCGGGTGAAACGCGACATCATTCACCTAAATAATAGTAAATGATCATTGTACTTATTCAACTCTTGTGCATTACGATCGATATTTTATCAAATCTGTTTAACGTTCGGTACTGACTGGATAAATATCTTGGTACCCGTTAGGTGTTCCGTTTACTCTATGGCATTTGAAAGTGAAATTCTCTTTTGCGCTTAAATTCAAGTAGTGTATCGCCACACGACCCTCGGTACTACCAATTGCAAAACCAGCGGGAACTTTTTTCTTGTCTCTGAAGATCGCAACGCAACGATACTGATATTTTAGATTCAGTTCCACCGTTTTGTACTCTCGGGGACTACCCTCCAATTGATACACAATTACTCCACGTCCAGCGGTGCCAACCACTGCCATCGGATAATCCTATCGCGATAGAAGATACATTGTTAGTTAAAATGGACGATATGTTAGAAAATAATACCATATACCATTCTTCCGCGAGAAGAAGCCACAGTCTGTTTACATCCCCACTCCTGTTGCTGTCCGCTGACTGTAACTGCAAGGTATTGGTCGAAAACGGTGACGAAGATAGGTGACAGCCAATCAGCGGACCGCAGCAAGAGTGGGGATGTAAAGACGCTGTGCCTTCTTCCCGCGGAACGACGATACTTACAACGTCTGCGCAGTAACATCTTTCGATCAAATTTAGCGTCATTGCCGGCTTGGGGCTTCGCAAATCCCAAAACTAAAATATATTTAATGATTAGTGTTTAAATATCAAGAGACGACGCATTACGAAAAGTGATTTTTTTCGATGTTTACTTTCATGTGTCGAATTAAACACGGACCCGATTCCCGCTTCTTTCTAGAACATTATCAACTAGTACAGAAACTTCTGGAAGTTTGCGAAATTTCTGGATTTCTATGTACTTAAGAGTTTCGAGGAAAATCTTTTGTTTTTCATTTCGATACGTAAAATTACGTATGAAAAAATCGATAAAAAAAATCACTTTTCGACGTTGACCATTCTTGCTAGAATTACGTATAAGTGTAAACGTACTCTTAACGTTTTGTCCCAAGAACCTGTCATGAGGCACGAATATGTGCTCGCTTTGATCCAGTGACAAGTTCTGACTGGCGCGTCGTGCGCTGCAACCTGTATACTTTGATTCGAGGCTAAATCCCAACATTTAACTGTTTTGTCGCAAGATGCTATGAATACTTTAGTTCCATCCTATTTTAGTGAAAATATATCATTTTTGGAGCAATTGTAATAGATCCAATTTGAGAAACAATTACCACCAAACCATGGATGTTTATGCAAACATATATTTTTATTCGAACGTTCCATCGTCTTCGGTTTTTTGCAAAACATTCGACATATTATATCTGCATAAACATTCGCGGTCTAATTGTTACGAAAAAAAAAAAAAAAAACAGAACAAAATATTGTCGAACTTACGTCGCTCCAACAAACATCGAGAACAGGTGCTCCCATTACTTGCATCGATTTGGGAACCGTTTTGCCCGATTGCTCGACTTCCCAGCAACGGACATTGCAATCCCACGAGCCAGCAACGAGAAAATTTTGTGGAACAGAGGCTGGACTGAACGCAAGACTGGAAGTAGAATCGTCCGGTGGAGATACAACCTCAAAATCTTGCATCGGATTTGATGTGCACGATGTGCCGGTTCTTAGTCCGCCACTTTGATTAAACATGTTCGATTACTGTCGTTCCAGTGATGTTCACTCGATACAATGTCACGTGTATCAATACAAATAAAGCACAAAATGCGTTTATGAAAACATTTAACACTCTCACGTGCTCCAAACACTTGGGTGTCAAGAAATACAATGTATTCGTACTGAGTTCTTGAGTGCTGCGTAAATCCCAACGTATATTAACGTAGAATGAATACTCGAATATAAATTTAGATATATATAAATACAAAAAGCATACATAGATGGCGATTTTGTCGCTCACTATTTTTAGGTTTCTAGAAATCTCTTCTTGGTTCCCTTCCTTCTAGAAGCATTTATTTTACATTACGAGATACTTGCCAAAAGCTATTATGGTAATTATACAGTACAGGAATTGCTCTTAAGGGTAGATATTCATTTTTGTGAGAGAAGTTAGTTTTGGCTAGTTTATTTCGTCACGATCCACATTAGCTTCGTTTGCATGTAGCGACTAGAGATCACAACTAGTAACATAGGTAGACACTTCCAGAGTTTTCCATTGGGTAACATAATAACAATAATAATAATTGAAAATATTATATGCGACATCTAACATCGAAGACAATGAACTATTTCCTGATAAACGTTTTGCCGTAGCATCACTGTATCTTAGTATACGAACGTGAAAATATACATAGTAGCATCGTTAAATTTATCCCAATTATATTATATTAACCGTAATTTTTACTATTTTTACAAACCTAAAACTCACTGACGGAAGATTGAAAAATAACCAAAATAACTAGATAACTGTTATGGCTGTGAACTGTACATGAGAACGAGCCTTTAGGTCCAAGCTCGCAGGAAGGAATTCGCGCCAAAAGTTGACCAATTGGACTACTGCTTTTCACCTTGTTCCTGTCGAGAATATGATTTCAAACTTTTATACAAGTAGGTACTGTTGAATCATTTACAGATATTCTTCTTTCGTAAAAAGTAATAAACGTTCCAGCTATTTTTTATTTATTATTTACGTGTGTCACGAAGACGCGTTCGACTGAGAATCGCAGCCCTGCGTACGTACAATGTTAAATTACATTTTCGTATTTTTCTTTTACAAGATTTAACAGCGGACGTAGGAAATATTTATTTTATTGCAATTACGTGTACCATAGACTTATGATAAATATGTATATTTTTCATAAGTAGGACTCATTCAGCCTTACAGTTTTTCTTTAGTATTGAAATGCGACATTCTGCATTCTGGTCGCGAAGATACGCGATATTCGAAGCGACGCACAGCCTAGAAATGATTTATAATCACTTAAAATAGCGTGTTCATAAAATGTGTATAAAAATACGTCTCTTATTTAACAGTGTTATTTTTTTTTTCGTTTCCTTACTTTTATACAGGCGAGATGAATGTGTATACATGAAAGAGAATCAATGTGTTTTTACGTGAAAAATTAATTTAACTTGTAATTTGCGACTGCAAATCATGAGAATCTTCCGAAGCAGAGTATTGATGACGATCGAGAAAAATGCACAATTCCACGAAAACGTTCATAAATAAATGATTCTTTGTCTGACGATGAGAAAGTTTATCCAATTAACAGATACGAATTATATGCAAGGAAACAATACATCCTACTGCAATCCTTCGTTTCTGTATAATTAACTTAGTTCATTCTTATTTATAGTAGCACCCGATGCAGTACAGATTGCGCAATGCTTGTTTCGTATTTTGCAAGTGAAAATAATTATTTTCGTTCAGCCTTTGAACTGAGTCTTGATAAAAATTCCATTGCCTGGTTGTCTCCTTTCCTCTGTTCTAATGCTTGTATTATATCAGTACCTAAACACAAAATAGAAGGGAACAGTTAATGGAAAGTAGTTTAGTCGCAGAGTACGATAAAAAGATCAAATTGGTTAAGAGTAGATGAAAGAAACTGTGGCCGAAACTCACTTCTTTTCGTTGGACGTGAAAGTTTCAGATGAATTTGGGTCAGAGTTTCGATTCCTTGATCCGGTCCTGTTTCAGGGATTTCACTGAATGGCAGAAAAGCCTCGGATAAGAATCTGGATTTGAAAAAGTCCTTGTCCTTCAATTCAAAGGCTATTATCGCATCTTCTGTTGTCCTTTGTTCCATATTTAGAGGACTGAAAAAATTCTTGTTAGTCATACCGTACTTGTAGTAAAGAATATTATCATTAAACTATTGTCTCACTATGTATAAGAATCTAACGAATACTATTTATGTATATATCTATTTCAGGTTTATTTCTGTTCTTAGGCTGTTCAAATTATATGTAAGGTATTTGTTGTATTGTCACTTACATGTTGAAGACTTCATCAAAGAGAGGATACAAGTTTTCTTTCTGTACATGAGTCTTTGGTAGTTTCACGTCGGTGAATTTTTCCTCCGGTAGCAGCCTCACCTTCACGTAGGAGTCACACATGCCTGAAAAAACAGGAAACGTTCAGTTTTCGAGATGCCGTCCCGAGACACCGAAGGACCCCAATATGGACTCATGCACGGTGAAGGTGACTATCAAGTCCAAAGTTTTCAAGTCAGGAGAATCGTCATGTGCTCTAAATACATGTACGGTTTGTCTAGCTACAATATAACGTAACAGAAACGCGGGCAACGGCTGTGTCATGCAACTCTGAGACTCTAATATTCATAAGGGCAGGCAATTTAATGAGAGATTCTATTGGAACAGTGATGAGGAAGAGCGTGTCTTTACATCCACATTTACATACTTGTCTTCTTTTCTTTCAGTCTTTGTTTAGATTTTGTATGGAGATTGCGCTTGAGAGTAGACACCTTGCCTATAAAATCGCCTACAAAATCGAAAGAAAATGTCATTCTCCATGTCGCGTGTCAGTCGCTCAATCTCGTCATGGACCGATCAAACGAAAAGAAACATTAACGGGTAACGGAGTAGGAAATTAATTTAACACACAGGGTGATCTTACTATGTGATTGATGCCACTGTCTACCATTGAAGTTACAAAAATGTTCAAAAGAAGTTGTCCATCATATTCTCCAGACATTCATCAGATTTACCAAAATTTTATAGCGACAGCATAATGTTTTCATCAAAAAAGTGATAGTGCAACGAGTGAGTGATTACATTTTTTCATAACATCTAAAGGTAAGTGTAAAATATTATTCTAAGTAGTACATTAGTCGCATCTGTCGCTTTATAGAATCGCCCTGCATGAAACAAGAATTGTCCATCACCTAAGATCACCAGCGCTAGCAGTCATGCAACTTCTAAGTCACGGTATAGTCCTAGGTCTCTTCGAAAAAGGCATTAGATTCCCTTTTGCTTACCATTGCTGTCAACCGGCCGCAGCTTCCTCGCGTTAAGGATCTGAATGTTCAACATGTTATCCACAAATTGAGCTCTGACGGTGATTTGTCCATACTCGGACTCCTCTATATCGTTTTGCTCTTTGATACGCTCTTGGTGGTAGCGGTGTATCAGCTTGGCGGTTTCCAATCCGTGCAGCTCCAAAAGGTACTCGATTTTCTCCAAAACCTTCACGTTCGTGGATTCGTCCGCTCCCATGTTGAAGAATCGGACAAGAGTGTGTAGAGTGCGATGAAGATTCGAGTAAAACGATGGCGGCCTTCTTTTCTACGAATCGAAGGGTCGTCAATATTATAAGGAAAATTAATACAGTGGGATCACCGAAGAAAAATCTCAAATACCTCCAAGTTGCTATTCACTAATTGGTATAGCGTTTCCGACATGATCTCCCAAATCACAAGGAGGACTCTTTCGAAGTTGTCTTCGTTGAGATTGTCGTGCAGGGTCGTTAAATTACTGTCCAAGTATTGCAAGAGACGGTCCATGGCGTTGCTGGTTGTGTCTATCAACTCTGCACCCTCCATGAGGTACCTGTACAAGTCAGGGATAGTTCGGAAAAGGACTAAAAAGTGGAAGTGCAGGTCTGCACCGGAAGGTACCAAGTTACCTGCTCATAGCGGGCGCCATTTTGTTCGCTACGATCTGCAACAACTCGATGATCTTGTTCTTAACCGTATCGGTGGCATTGTCGATGATTAATAGAAGCGTCTGTTGGCAGCGATGCGCTTCTTCCTGCGTCTTCTTTTCTGCCAACGAGTCGACGATTTCTTGGAGCCCTAAATCGTTGGCCAAGGGCGCGATCGATGTCCTGATGTAGTCGATATTGTTAATCGCGAAACACCATGCCGTGGACACGAAGAACTTCCTCTCGTACACGCTACTTTCGGATAGCTGCTCCAGTTCGGTGGTCAGCTCCGCCTTCTTCGCCATCTTGTCCGCGTAAGCCATCGAGCATTTGCAGATGTCCTGAAATTCGTGGACGCATGATACTCTCAAAAGGATGATCGGAGGCCAAAGAGTACGAAAACGAAGACAAAGTGAAAGTTAAAGAAAGGAGATCGCTGCTGACTCACGTCTATGATTTTGCCTATGAAAGTGTAAGAGCCCTCCACGTCAGGCCAGGACAGCTGCGACCAGAACACTTTGATTTGGTAAAATATTGTTAATGTGTCCACTGCGCTCGAGCTGTATTGAACGCTATTGTCGACTGCCTGCAGCGTGTCGAACTCTACCGCTCTGTCGATCCGCTTTAGCGCTTTGTACACAGCGATGTCGAGCCAGTGTGCTACACCAGCTCTGAACCAGTCATAGTAACTCTGCACTTTCATGTTTTCCAGTTGCCATTCCGCGCACAGTACTCGACCGAGGCTGAAAACGAGACATTGTTTTGCAAACAAATGAAAGTTTCATGGCCTCAACGTTATTCTTGTCACGCTGATCCCAAATCTTTGGCTGGCAGTATACACCCTAATTATACTATCACTACAAATCCACCATAATGGACGGAGACGCTAATGCCAAGGCTAATGGCATCTGTTTGTACTTACAGAATCGAATATGCCAGATTGGCCTACATCCTAATATCATTTGACGGCAGTGCAGCTTCGTCAGAGTTGGAGGAGACATTAATGCCGGAGGCATATACTTGTACCTACAGAATTGAACATGCCACGTTTGCCTACATCCTAATACGTATACCGCCACCGTCAATCTCGTAACTTCGCTAATCCAATAAGCCTAACTAGACGTTACCGCAACACTTGAATATCCGACTTACACAGCGTATCTCTGCAACGAGAGATAGAGCTCGAACAACGTTGTTCCCAAGTTAAGTTCAACGTCGGTGTTGTTAATTTCGATCCTCTTTAATCGGCCGCAGACGTCTTCGGTGATGATCATGCACATGTCGCTGATTATCTTTTCGTACCTCATGTAAAGTGTCCTGGCGTACGGGAAGTTGATTCGTCTGAAATCGAAGCGGTCCGATCGATCAGTTTCTATCATCAGTCGCCTTTAAAGCACCCTCGAAGATTCTTACCTGATGAACAGTTTGTCGTAGTAATCAATGGCACTCTGTAGGTCTGCTCTCACGAGTTGGATCATTTTTATGTGGTACTTCAGCGCGTCCTCGTCGGAATCGCTTTCTTGGAAGTTGTGGTTCGATATGTGGTCGAACCTGAAACATATTTAGCTCGATGTTACGTAATTCCCTATCGAGTTTGAACTGGTTTACGTCAAGTAAGAAGCGTTAACGTCATGTACCATTCGGAGGCACCCTGTTCAACCGTGTACTCCAAAGCTTGAAGGATGCTCAGCCTCTCGTCCGGATCCGGGAACCAAGGGTACATTTTCGCGGGGAACAGATTCGCGTCTTCGGGCACTTTAAGGCACGATATGGATGACAGTATGCTGAAGCAAAAAGAAATAGCGTTAAACTCCCGCAGTAGCGATGGGTCGATAAGATCATCAAATCATTCTCAATACCCCAAAATCGCGGACAACTGCATCATAGTGTTTTTGTCACCAGGCGTCAGCCTCCTGATCTTACGCAGACTGTTCAGACACGAGTACAAAATCTTCTTTGCAGCGTCCCAGAAGAGTCTGGTCTCGTCTAACGAGAACAGGTTGCTCTCCATGGGTCTCAAGAGGTCCATCATCAGCTTGTTGAACACGATGAAGTTCAACGGATGCTCCTGATGGATCCTCGCGTACTCTACCCACTTCGCCAGCGTTACGTTCCTGGCCAGCAAGCCACGTTGCGCGCTGTGCTGCAAAAGCAGAACATCGGCTGCCGCCGACCATCGATCGCACCAGCAGTATTTCTCTATCTTCTCAGTGTCTATTTCATGCAACAGCAACACCCTGATCAAGTGCCTGTGCTCCTGAGCCGCGACCTGTGTGTTGTGCTCCGCGCTGAAAGCCAGCCTTAACTTCACGACCCCCCGGCGCTTCGACTTGTTCTTCTTCTCCAAGGAGTACCACATCGTGTGCCCAGTGGTGGGTATGTCCTGGAATTGTTTTAGTTGCACGGTGATGACACTTTGGAAGAGATTGTTGGTACATATCGATTGTTTCGTTATTTACCTTTAAAGGTATTCGACAGCGACCGATAAACTCGTTGTCGTGGCTGCCAGTGGTGGCGGTGACCGCGATCTCCTTAGCTAGCTTCACCAACCCTCGAACACCTTTCACATCCTTGACTTTGCTCATCTTTTCTGGCACCGTCTCGGCAGCGTCGAAGTCCCTAAAATAGCAAAACGACGGGTAAACGTCTAAACTCAAATGTGTTCATCTCTGATTCAGACTTACCAGACTTCTAGGAACAGTATGTCGTTTTCTGGGTCTTCCAGGGGTCTGAAATACGGAACAATTGTCCATAAGCAAAGCATTTTGAGAAATGCACGATTCTATGAGAAATTGTGTGGCATCTACCTGAGGACCACCAAATTCATACGTGTAAGTTAACCCAAAGCTGGTTTGGTTCTCAGTTTCGTGGAGTAATCCACGTAACCGGGTTAACTAATGTCTGGAGACGTGGTTAACCCATTCTTACGGCGGGTTATAGTACTACTTGCTATGAGAAACTGTTTGACACCTACCTCAGGACCACCAAACCTGGTTTGATCCTCAGTTTCGTAGAGTAACTCACATAACCGGGTTAATTAATGCCTGGAGGCATGGTTAACCCATTCTTACGGCGGTTTATAGTACTATTTGCTATGAGAAACTGTTTGACACCTACCTCAGGACCGCCAAACCTGGTTTGATCCTCAGTTTCGTAGAGTAACTCACATAACCGGGTTAACTGATGCCTGGAGGCGTAGTTAACCCATTCTTACGGTAAGTTATACTATACTATACTATAGAACCCTTAAATTGGAACATGTGCTCCATCAAATAGTACAAATTCTAACAACTTCCCAAGTCAGACTTGTGTATGAATCAGTAACCCCCGAACAAAAAAAACTCTGTCGACCCAAATGTGTATCAGTGGATAGTGAACGCGTTGTTCAACTCACAGTTCAAAGTGTTCCTCCCACACTGGGCAAAGGGTGGACGTTTTCACGGCAGTGTTGTACCTCCTTGTAGGGGCTGACTCGAGGTAGAGCGCGCAGAAAGGATCGCTCTTGCCGTTGGAGTCCTTCGACACTAGTTCCTTCGCCTCGATCACTTCCACGTTTAAGTGCATCTCTGGCGGCTGTGCGAATCAAACGTATGCCTCGTGTAATTGGACATCACGTTTATGGTCGTGGGGCTTTGACCCGGGTAGCGACAGTCTTACCTCCAAGTTCCTCGTCTCCTCCAGGACCCTCTCGTGCGTCTCGTTGTCGACCTTGAACGCATTTTGAAGGTGATTCAATAGGGCTTCTTGACCACACTCGTTGGAAACGTCGTAACCAATTTGGTGTTGGGTCATGTAAACTAGAGCGGCGTAGAGTTCCTCGATCTGTGGATAGCACCCACGATACCCAAACTGAATTAAAGTTTTCTTAAGTCTAATGCTCCGAACACCCTAAAACTGGACGTCGTGTTTAGCGGTATATTAATGCCCTACACGCCACACCATTCTTGCAAGGGGGAAAAAATTGAAGCTTGAGTATTTGCATATGGCTTTGATGGTCACACGACTAGTCGAGGACTGCACATTAGGTAAAGATCAGTGATCCCTCGTTGGAATAATAGCGATGGCGCGTGCAACGCGCGAGGAACTCTCCCAAATGTGTCATGAATATAGTCGAAGCTATTCTTGCGATAGTTCGTAATTGGATCGGTGATAAGCGTAATCTGATTGCGTCATTTGTAATTGTAGCATCTGTTAGTAACGATGTACTAATAGCACACATGGTGGTCCAAAGCTACTATCAACGTCCATGTCGTTTCACATGACAGGAAGATGTGCTTTTGTTACAAAAGTTGTGGGACATAGAAAGAAATATGATATGGTGGCAATGGATTCAAGGCTAGAGGACATTTGAAGGTCAAGTTTATTATGTTTTGATACAAGTTAAGAATAAAAGTACTAAGATACGTATGCAGCTTCTATGAAGCAATGTTGGATCACTGTCAATCGTTTGTTTACATTCGATACACGTGATATTTCTCAGCGTTTCTATTACGCAAGAGCAGAGACATGGATATATGAATATAAAACAAATAAAACGAGAAGTAGACTAGACCGTGCGAGGTATGGTACAGCTTAAATGCTGCTTATTGAAACCTAACGTCGACGTAACGCAAGAATCAACAAGCAAAACAAAGGAACTGGTCTGTTGAGCAACTCGATGTCGATACTGTCGGAAGTGGAGGTGGTCACGTTTACGCGGGACACCATTCGAGTCCGTAATATATTCGGCAAATGATCTCGTAACAGGAGCAATGAAAGTCGAGCTGGTAATGACTGCCAGATCTTGGTGGACCTTTTGCACTCGCCCGATGCATGTGTTCCGAGATTTTAGACACTCGTGACACAACACTCACGGTTCAAAGTTCTTTGCTCGATACCGTGCCGAGTAAATAATTACAAAAAGAAACGGAATCACATCGAGAAGATAATTTTATTTGCGTGTCTCGTTCGTGTGGGTAGCTATTTACAGCATGAAAAATTTCCAAAATGATTCGACAGACTACAGAATACAATGTCTTTTTAAACAAAAACTGTCGTTACTAGATTTAATTGACGAACAGAACACACGATGTATGGACTTAAATTGAGCGTATGAGTCCCGACAGGGTTAATGCATCCAAGCAATGCTCGAGTCTTCCGGGTCGAACGTTCGAGACAGGTCAACCATTTACATTTGAATGCTTAATTACAGGAAAACAACGACCGCGTTCAATTATTTATTCTTTATCGTACAGTCTGAACGAGTTTACTTTGGATTTTACCAATGTATTAACATCCCGAGTGTTAAAAACAATGTACAGATCGCATAAAACCGACTCACCGTCATAGCCTGCAGCATAGTGTTTATTCTGCGCTCGACCTCCGCCTTGGGCACCCCGCGAAAAGTGTTCCTCCCTCGATTCAGAGTGCCCACCACCCCCACGAGTGGGCTCGTGCTCACCATTTTCGCGTCACAGACACGACCCTCTCATTTCACCAGCAATCCCACGAATCACTTTCGACACCAGTCGCGAGAATCACTGTACGAGACACCGCGCGCCGGCAAAAGCTTCGGCACACGTCTGTTTCTTCAGCTTGCTGCTCGAAGGAGAACACTTTCAATAGAAACAATGCGATTCGCGGTGGTCAGGTGGTTTCACGCAAAACCGCCTCGAACTCGAGGGATCTAGAGCAGCGCGACAATGACCGGCGGACGCATCGCTTAGAAAAAGATGCTGTTAGTTGAGAACAATGACGTTCACGCAGCAGCACTCGCGGCCTCGACCGGGGAAATCTGAGATCTTCCTCTCGCTGACGCTTCCGCCCTCGCGAACGGAGGAGGCGCCCGAGGAGGGCATTCTGGGCAATTTTACGTCGTGCATATCCACTTTTTCTCACTGGATTTTCAGTAACCTAAACTTCACGAATTATAATCCTGATCGAAAATCCACTTCATGGGGGGAAAAATGATAAAGAACCCTTAATGCCTCCTCAAGAGATCACCTCTCAGGCTGACGAGTTGAAAAATAAGGTAGCAATTCGAAATTTTTTTCTAAAACAGGTACGTGTGATTATAACAACACATATTAAGTTACACATTTGCTGCATTTTATTTAAAATAAATAAAGTTACGATCTTAATGCAGATTATAAATTTTTTTTTCTTTGTTTTATCGTAGACGATACACGTTAGGTTCTTCTACTTTAAGGAACTAGATAAATATTCGACGATATTACGTACCAGTTTAAACAAAAATTTCCAAAAGCAACCTTAGCTTTTGGCTCGTCATCCTGGCGCAAAGATCCTGGATATTACTGGTTTGCCAGCCCCAGCAGTGGTCGGGCCCACGACAGACGAGACTATCAACGCGTACGCGTTTCTAAAACCGCTGCAAGCGCATCGATCGCACTCGAAAAAAAGAATCACATCGCGATACTCGCACTTTGCTGGTCGAAGTTGAACTTCCACGGTGACCACGACCTCTCTTATCGAGTCTACGCATACTTATTCAGTCGTGCGTATGCATAATCCACCAAAATTGATCGCAGCGACACGGTGATTGGTAGAAACACATTTTAGTTACGAGTAAAGTGTGTTTTAAACGAATTTTCTGCGATTAGAAGATTTTGGAAATTGTGGGAGCCAAAATTAGTTCTTATAGAACGATTTTAGAAACTATTTATAGCGGGGAATTCTCGTTTGGAAGCGTTCAAAGTCTTACTATGGTGTACGCCATATGTTTTGGCTGCACGAGGAGGTGAGCGCCAAATATATTGGCCACTCAAGGTCACTGAGGGCTCAGGTTACCATACTCGCCTAAGACTACTATACATTACGCATAAAAATATTTTCAATCGAAAGATTTTTATTTTTTTTTAATTTTCGACATTTCTAACGGCACTTTTCACGCAGAATTTGACGCCAAATTGAATTGAGAGGTGGGTAGCCGCAGAAAGTCATAACTAACCGCCGTGAGGCGTTCGATAGGTTATTTTAATGATGTCAGAATCGAATTCGCGGGAGCGTCTAATTCGAGATCGACCTTGGAATATTTAAAATTCACTTTTTCCACGATTCGCAGTTACGCAAGGAAACTCGCGAACCATTCGTTCCGTTCGTTCGTTTATCAGGCAAACGTCTGAAGTTACTCTTTTTTTAGCGCCTTCGGACGCGGACCGATCGCTCTGAAAGAACGAGGAGAATGCGACGACGTCTGACCGAAATAGTTGATTCCATGCCACTTGCTGCGAAAAATCTAGTTCATTGGAAACCATCAAAGTCGGATCGTTACTTTTCTTCGTGGAAAATAGAACACACACTTCACGGTCTAAAGAAGTTACTGCAAATTAGATCAGACATTAACGAGACGTCAACGAATCGACTCGATTCTTTCGTCGTGGATTTAATCCAGGAGTTTTAGGAAAATTTTAGGATAGTCGCTCGTGAACGCGAAAAGTGGGCCATAGTCTTCGACATCGGCGGACACTGGCAAACGCGGCTGCCAAGAGCAATTGACTCTGACAATGAGATTCCATTTATTTGTACACATTTCTTTATTTCGAACAGCATTGACCCCTTAATTGAAGCCAGAAGGACGGAAACATTAATCGCGCGAGCAGATAAAATAGGGACACGCGCAACCAGTGACGATTCCTTTCTTTCTAGGCGTACGGGAGCTAATTTTTATACAGAGAATCCTCCAAATTTGTTGTACATCGAATGATTAGATTTCCTGTCCCCGTTTAAGGAGGGATTCTCGTGTAACAGGTTCAAAAAATCAAATAGAAATGTGAACGATGTAAAGGAAGAAAGACTCGAGATTTCTGCGCATGCGCAAAGAGGTGGAGCTCGGAACGAGGCGTGGCCAAGCGGTACGGTGGGGATAGCACCCCAGCGACTTTGGGAGGACAGTAGATACTGTCTGGCTTACCAAAAGTTCACACAGTCCTACAGTTTAATCGTTTAAACTCCAGATTGAACTACCTCCATGGACAAATGTTACGACAGTGTTGTTATACAATTAGAGAAAGAGTTAGCAATTAAATAGAAGAGAGACAGCACGAAACGCTACTTTAATTTCGTACACATAGATTTAGTTTCAGTGTTGTAATCGGATGACACTGTATTAAATATCGAGAATCGACGAGACGCGACGATGCATTGGCCACGCGGTTAACTCGGGGACCAATGGTACACGCGAAAACAAGACAATGAATCTGCACAAAGGGAAACTATGCCATATCCTGTTTGAAGTGACCCACGGGGCAAGTGCAACCACAATGCGTTCGTATGCTCGCGCAATTGCGCCCAATGAAAATTGATATACCGGCAATTAGCTCATTGACCGACAAGGCGCGCGTAGATGGCCGACGGTGTACACGCGTCGCGACGTTCCCCGTCCTTCACACGGTGCCCAATTTTCGTAATATTATGCAAGTTCGTCGTTGATCCAACACGACGCCCACTCGGCTACGCCAGGTCTATTTTACGCGGGGTACGGATTAATTCGGAAAACGAGAGCTTTTACACCGATTCGCCGGCTAACGAACTCGACTTCTGTCCAACCTAACCTTCACCATTCATTCGTTTCTCCTGGGTGCAGATTTATGTCTCCAATATACAGATTATGCTTTTTATTTATTGCTTCCTTGATTATTTATCGTTCTACGTGAAGTTCTTGTGCTTTATCAAGTTTAATCGCGAGGATAGTTCAAGTTTTCGCCGCTAGGCGGCTGTCGACGAGACCCACTTCGCGCTAGTCGATCCAGAAATCGAAAAGGACCTCGAAATGATCGTTGTCTCTTGAAATTTCTTTAATAAAATATCCAAAATCGTATTTCATGAATTATCCATGGGTGATTGTAGTTTATTTAAGTTGTTAATTAAATACAAGTATATATTTTTCAGGTAAACTATTTCTAACCTACAAAATGGATGTTTACATCAGTATAGAAACTGTTTTAGCCGATTTTAACCTCCAGAATAGATTCAGACATGGGCTCAAAAATCGTTTCAAACGTTTTGCGTTAGTATTTCATAAAGTTCTCAGGGTGTTCTGTGCTGTACTTGCTCTTCCTCCCGGTGTTTCGATTCGAAGTGAAACTATGTCGCTGACAATTTGCCAGTTTTTGATGATACAGTACTGAAGAAGATTGCCCAACCCCGTTTTCTCGGTAGGTTTGATTTATTTTTATGACCGTGCCGACGAGTGCTGCTCGCGAAGATTTGCGTCTCTGCAACTAGCAAATCAGACGCGTCGACGTTCACCAAAAAAAGTACAGTAGAATCTCTAAAGGTTCCGACACCTAAACAGTACACCACAAAATCTTCCACAACAATTATAAAATCTACAGTGTGTTCGTACGCAGCGATGGCGTCACAGTGGAAACGTCTAGTGCTAATCGAGCAAGTAGCATACGAAATAATTAAAAACTTACGACGAATAAAATAATACACGAAACGATCGAGAAAGACTTGGATCACGATTTGATCTATTAAAAAGGTTCCCCTCCTCTTCAGCGTTCAGATAATAGCGGGTCTACTGTATCAACTCTTCCCGATTTTCATCCTACGAGCTGGTACCTCGAGTCATCCCTAAGACACGAGTCGCCACGTACCTTGAACGCCACCAAATCACCCAACAACCAACTATCACCAGGTTCACCACGCTCGGAACGTCCTCACGCTGGGTTAGGTAACCCCTAACTATCGCGAACCGTGTCTCAGGCTCTCCCACACCCCTCTCGGTTCCCCTCATCGCGACGGGCTCGCCCGACAGCAAAGGGCGAGCCTCGTTTCGCGGAACACCTCCCCGATTCGCGTCGAAGCCATGTCACCCGGTGACCAGAGACGCTCAGCGTCCCTGGGTAACGTCGATCGCGACGAAAGGACGAAGACGCGACAGGAACTTGACGGAGGCGAGCACAGCACTGCCAGGAATAGACAGTCGGACAGATCGGAGTCGTCGTACGTCGACGTGTTCGACTCGTGGTGGTGTAACGTAAGCGCGTTCGCGAGCACACCAACACCCAGACACGCGTTTCAGATTGAGCTTAACTGCTCGATTGAGCTCGGAGGATAACACCCCGCTGTGGACAAGCGTGCGCGGCGTGCGTCGCGGTATCGGTGACATAATTGAGGCATTCACGTGCAAGCCTCTTTTCTTTCTCCATTCTCGTTTCGGATGGCCTGGGATCGCCTGGGCCGGTCCAAGGCTGAGAATTTAACCGCAGATACCTGCCTAGGGCTTCGTTCTGACGTATTTGTTGGATCTATCACTGTTTGAGACAGTTTAAGACAGTTTGGGACAGTTTAACCCAGGCTTACCCCCTAGTTATTTAATAGACACCCTCTGTGTTCATGTATGGAGACGTTTCAAGCCTCGTTTGAATCGATAAATGAATCGGGCTTATTGTCCTAAATTTACTATGCTACTCGACTCACGTATTTTTCGTCCAGCTGCAGAGAAAAGGGACCGTGCTTTCCCAGTTGCATTATTCTCGATTCCAAAATTGAGACATAATGGAGGACACGGTGCTGTTTGAAGAGTTTACTGGTTTACTGCCAATAGAATAGAATAGTGGTGAAACAGGACATCTGCCTTGGACGAGCCTTCGGTTCGAACTGCGACCTCAGTGAAATCAATAACTCCCTGCTACCATAGTCTGGCAGAGCCAGGCGTTTCGGTCGAGAATTGCAACGAATAAGTAATGGAATAATACTGTGAAAAAAGTTATAGAATCGTTGATCACGCTGGAACGAAACAGAGGAAAGGAGGAATTGAAATCTAGACGAAGCAGGGGTTCTCAACCCCCTTTGGAGTCTAGAACAATCCGAAAAGGGCTCCCAGAATGGATCGCAAAACAGCAAAACGGTTCCACTGAAAGATTAAAAGATTTGCTCAATAACCGATCCAACGGAGCTCGTTAAAAACTCTAGGAACATCGTTTCCCACGCTTTTTCCTCATCTGTTTCCTATAACCTCCGGTCAGAGCCTCGCGTAAATCACCCGTCGACGCGATTCCCGAGCAAACAGGCCACCCCTTATCCGCGCTGACGCAATCAAGACGGCACACGGGGCTTATCGAAGTATTTTAAGTTGCCCTTTCGCGTGTCAATGACGCGTTGAGCGATTCGTTCGCCTCGTCGTTATTTCGAATCCAGCGATGGACCACCTTCGATCGGGAGTTCTGTTTTTCCCCAAGTTCGCGGCGGCTAAGAAAAGAAACACTCGATGCTTGAAATTTGGCGGGACGGTTAACGTCATGGCGCCTCAGGGACTTACGAGCAGCTGGAGAGCCAAAAGGGAGGGCATATAGTAAGTAAGCATCTAAATGTGTCTTATGAATTAAAAAATGTGCAACTTCGACCGTTAAGTGACCATACCTTCCACTGTGTCGATTTTAAACTTCCTTGCAAGAATGGAGGCTACATTTAGGGGCTTGTGAACTCAAAGTAGAAGATGGAGTTCTTAGAAAAATCATTTATCTCACGTTCCATCCCATAGACTCGGTCAAGAAATTCGTAGCGAGTTCGTTTTCGTCTCTGTCGCTGTCGGTCTCCAAAAGCGCTTCCACTGGCTCGTCGATGCTTCCCTCTTCGCTCACATTGTACTCTTCCTCCTCCTCCTGGGCCTCATCTTCCTTCTTTGGCATAGGCCCCTCGGCCTGTTCCTGTGCTCGAACTCTTTCGGCCAACAGCGTGCCGAGATTTTCGAAAAACCCGCCATCGGATTCCTGTATTCTGCGAATAAAAATTAATTCACTCTTAATCCTGCAAGCCTCTATTAAAGGTGGCACAAACGATGCAGATTTTTAATAGCATTATCGAAGGATTGCAAAGGTTTCCATTGCAAAGATTGCTGAAACTTTGCCCAGCTTTGTCGTAGAGGTTAAGTCCAAGTCTGAAAGCTCACTTCGCGTACCGAACGTGTTGTCCTGTTGATGTTCGATGAAATCGTATCGAAACTTTTGCAACCGTTCGATCGAATTACGAGGAAGGAAATGGGTCAGCGATAAAACGATGAAAGCAGTAACGGTAACTGGAAACGGGCAGTGTTTGGTTAGGTCGAACGTTAATGCCACGTTAATTCGTCGCCATTGCGTTGGCGCGCAAGCAGTGTTTCCCCGACTCTGATCGATTTCGTTAAGTGCGCTAAGAACCGTACTAATTGAAACCATTGATTGCGTAATGGTCAATTTGCACACGCAACAGCGTGTTCCCAGCGCCGTTTCGAATTGCCATTAAATTCTTATTTTTCCACGGTATCGACGCAGAATTATTGCAGTTATGAAACGCAAGGTGACCTTGAGATAACCTAAAAAAAAATCCGAGAACAGTGTTTCCCCTCGATGCCATCGAATATTATGCAAGATACGACGAAGAGATCCTCTTACTATTTAGGAATAGACACCCTGTATATGATCGTTGGGTTTTCGTTTCTAAAGAGAGCATCTCAGTTGCGCGGAACACGCTACGTCTGCGGTGAATATCACTTACGCAAACGTGAAACACGCCATGAAACTTCACCTTTTGGGAAGGAAGTTGAACGCTGCGAACTTCCAATAGAATCTCGCGGCTGTCACATGTTTCGTTTCGGGCGGTTGCCACATTCGTGCTGCGGCAATTGCGTAGTAAGGGTGCTTCTCGTCCAGCTTCGCGAAGTGCGCCATTTTCCGACCCGCGCTGCACTCCAGAAAAAACACAACACGTGACTTCACGCGAACATCTCGACGCAACTACGAGGTCCGACTAGTTTGGAGGTAAAAGCAACTGTTTTCCTTACGTTTCCATAAAAATTTGAACGTTAAAATTGGCAGCGTTACAGAATTACGACCTAAATAACTTCAATGCGACCGGTTCCAAGCTGGTTGGCCCGATATCTCGAGAACCAATGGATCGATCGACTTGAAATTCGATACACGTATAAAGCAAATACCCCTCTATCGTCTAAACCGAAATTAAATTCGTAAATATAAACAAACAATTTGTTGGGCCCCAAACTAGACAGACCTCTAAAGTGTCATGTTGAACACGTGACGATTATTGACTTTCGTGTAATTCGTGACGTGCATTGACTCGAAACTACCTAAACAGTATCAGTTAAATGTCTTCATTGTTTATGAGTACATGTAAAATTTGTTCAGAATTAAATTAAATTATTCAAAAGCATTCAAGGCCATAGGTAGTTCTTTAATCGAATGTATCGATAGTTTTCGTCACTCCGCGTGAAGAAGTGATGGAGAAAGGTATTCCAAAAATGCATAGTTCGCGAAATATTTCAAGTAGCCACCATGACACAGCAAACATTCTCTTTCGTTTGAAATATTTCACGAAGTATTTGTTTTTCGAACCCCCTCCCTCAATATTGCAGAATGACAAAAATCAATCGATCTAGCTAAAAGAAAATATACAATTACATTAAAAAAAAACATCGATATCCTTGAAATCTCAGAGAAAATGGCCTTGGAAAATTGTTTTCACAACATACTCGATCTTTCGAACGATTTACCTTTGTTCTGTTTTTTCATATATTCATAAACAACGGTGTTCCCATTTAAATGGGTTATTCAGTACGCGAATGGAAAGTAGATTCGCCGTGTAACTGACCAGCCAGTCTGTATTATTTTCAATGCCAATCATTATGGGCTCAGTTTTCATTGTCCTTGTTGTGACATAGTTTAGTGACTCTGCTACAACTTTCTTGTCACAATTACGACGAGAATCTTTTGTGTTTTTTTTTTTGTTTGGTTCGAAATACGTACTAAAATCCACTATGAATAATTTTTAAGAGATTGTCGTGCGGTCGGTCTGAGCTGAACGGAATCGATTCACTTCACTTCGAAAACCTTCTACCGAAAGATTATTTGCTTGCAGGAGGACGCGATGTCGGCGAAAAATCGTGGCGATCGAGGCATGTCTGTACACGGACTGCCCGATCACTTCGGAAGAATGGAGGAAGTAGGAGGCAGTATAATGCGTGTAAGAAACGGTTATTGAATCTGTGAACTTCCCGCGCTCAGGATACGTCACGTGACATAAAAAAAGTGGGAAACATTGTGCAATTAGGCATACGATAACAAAACGAGGATCAAAACTTCGAATTACGTGATGGAAACGTCGAGATGCTGATGTAGATATAGATTCGTGTTATTTAGGAATATTCCACGTATACGTTACAACACAGATTTTTATCTGGAAAATTGTTGAAGGTGATATTTTTCTGTTCCAACGTTCATCTACGATTTAAAACGTAAATTATTAACGAGTAAAGTCCTTTGATTCGATAGATAGTTCGGAACCATTTGCGGATGAACCGTTTCTTTTGTGTCACGTAAAAAGGTGGGAAATTGTATGCAAGCGAGGTTAGGAACTTTGAATCACGCGATGGAAACCTTGAAACGTAGATGCGGATGTCCAG